ACGCTCTTCCTTCCGATATTAGGAAGCCACTGGAGTTATGCACTTTTGAATCGTCACCTAGATTGACAAACTCATTTTTTTAGAACTGCTTTTTGTAGAAGGGAAATAATACAATAATAACGTCGTGAGAATTATTTTATTTTATTATGTTTATTTTTATTATTTTATTATTTCCCTTCTACGTGACTTTACCGAAAGAACCAAAAAGACACTCTTCCTTTGTTATAGCTGGCGAGATTATTGACCCGCTTCAAAAATCTGTCAACCGTATTCCTTCCTAAATATGCCATGTGTTTATTTTTCCCTTTGCTCGTCACAAAGCCTCGACCCTTCCTGCGATGTTTATCCCAGTTGTGGGTTCACTGCGGAAACTTGTACCTTCAGAGCATCTTTGCGTCTGTGCTTCTTACCGCCCTTGTCATTGCGTGTGTTCGCTGTTTTTTGTTTTACTAAATTGCATCTGCGTGGGAGGACGACCGCATTCCATCATCATTCCGCACACATTTGCAGCCCAGCACACGTTTGTTTTCGTTACCATTACTTCTGTGCGACGAATCACCGCCTGATTTATTTCCCCACTACTTGGAAACTGATCTCCCCATTGGAAGCTTCAGCAGTGAGACGATTTAGAGGAAACAAAACTACGTGTAACACTCGTGCGGAGGAAGTCAGACTTTTGACTTTTAAACAACTTTTATTGCCGCCAGCAGCAAAAGCACTGGAGGCGATTTCGATATGAAATACACAAAGTCACCAGCAAACAAATGAAAATAAACGCTATAAATCCACGCGCTGTGGCGTTAAAAGCACCGCGCACAATACGAAAGAAAAGTCACGTGGTGGTTGTGGTCATCGCGCACGCCACGGTGACGAGCGAGCGCTTCAGCAGGTGAACACCACGAGGGTGCCGTCCACGCTGGTACAGAGAGGGGCTTGTGTCCGGCTCCCCAGCGTTCGAAGAAGACGTGCTGCACATCACCGACATGTGTGTGGTACGCGTGCTCCAGCCGGAGCCGCGCCTTAAGCAGGCCTCTGAACACTGGAAGCACAGAGCAGCCGTCAGTGTCACCTTCCAGCATATTTTTTCTCTAGGAAGTTAGAGAGAGAGAGAGAGCGACAGCGCGATGCAATTCGCCGTGTTGTTACAGAACAGCTGGACTTCTGCGATCCCTTCGAAGTGAACTTTGATGAACACGCGAGGTAGCAGCGCTCTATCATCGCACTCAGCCACGGAGGTAGTCGAACCGGTTATCAGGTTGAGACTCGGGGCTAATCACAGCAGTGGCTGCCTGGATTCGAACCGAGCATTCGAATCGCTCCCAACTCAGCGTTCTGACCTCCTACGACGCAACGCGCCAGAGGGGAACAACGCAGGCGTCCAGAATCGACGCCTCATTGGAGACCCAAACGTCGTGTGTGCCTCCTGACTTTGACGTTATTCGTGCAAGACACCGGTGGTGTAACCACCAGCCGCATGGAAAACATATAGATAGATATATACATAAACAGGCCGACGCGCACACCTCCATCATGAATGGGTCATCAAAGACACGGGCCATGCAAAGCCCTGCACTGCGGGCAGTAGAGTAAACACACTGTGCCCTAATTCTAGATTTGAAGCTTCCGTGACTGCAAGGATTTATACTCTTAGTTCTTTCGGTAAAGTCACGTGGGTAAAAAATGAAATTAAAATTAATAAAAGCAAAATAATAAAAAATAAAACAAATAAAAAAATGTTTTATTTTATTTTTATTAATTTTAATTTCATTTTTACCTACACTGTGGCCTGCACTCCCTCAACTGGGCAGGAACAGCAAAAGTCCACCAACTCTCACGCTCCCTCTCTCTCTCTCTTAAAGCCCCCCTCGTGGCAAGCAGCAGACCTCCGTATTGGCATTGAGCTCCGGAACATATTGTCTTACCAGAATGGGAATCTTTATTTCGACTGGGAGGGGGAATCCGATGAGCTATGAAGCTCTTGAGCACAGATGTTCCAGCGTGGGGCACGTCAGCGGGTTACAACAGCGAACAATACAAAGGCACTCGAGTGAGTGCGACATCGAGAAAATGGTAAGCAGGTCCCTAAGTATATATATTTAAAAAATCGCTTTCGTTACAGACGTCCGATTTATGAAGATTTGTCAAGGCAGCAAAAACAAACAAAGCATTACTTTTTGTTTTTATCGGTAAAGTCACGTAGGTTAAAAGAAAACAAATAAATTAAATCACGACGTTTCGGAGGCAACACAAGCTTCCGTCTTCAGGTGAAACCGTCACAGCAAAATTGCTGTATCAAGTGAAGAGATTTAATTTATTTGTTTTCTTTTCACCCACATGACTTTACCGAAAAAACCACAGAGTATGGATCCTTGCAGTCACGAAGACTTCAAATCTAGAAACAAAACATTTCCAGACCACCCTAAGACGACACATTGAGGTCATTTATAAGTGTGTGAGATAATGCAATGCATGAGAGTCATTGGTGAATACTCACGTATGAATCTGCCAATATAAAATAAACGACGATAACATTTTAATCTGTATGTTAACAGAGAAACGATGTCAAAGACCTTCGTGAACTCCTCGATCGTAAACAATGTGGCTTGAAAAAGTTTGACCAACAAACAAATGACGTCACGCGTGCAGAGCGTCCATTTTTTTTTCTATTCGCTTCCCGTTACTAAGCCGGTTGGGGATGCCTCACAGAATGGACAATTGGTTAAAATATTGACGTTCATTATTCGTACGTTAATTTCTCAGAGTCCATGTCGGGTCAGGCAAGGGTTGTTGTGTAACTCGGTTGAAACAAAATGCCACAAAAGCGAGTACGGGTACGGGTAGCCGTTTGCGACCCTGGTGCGGCCGGGTACGGGTAAGGAATAAAAACCCGTTTGCGACCTCTGCCCAGTGGTTATTCTTCTCCTTCTTAACCTGGGGTGGAACGCCTCCCCCTCGGGGTGCGAGATGTCCTTTCTGGGGGGTTAGCGAGACACGGCCAGATTTGTTTTAGAAGGTAAATCATCGAACACAAACATCAAGCACGGACACGTCAGTACAACTACTTTGTTTCATCAAACCCTGTGAGTTATTGACATTCTACTTTGTTTACGATTGAGAACCAACGTGGTTGCAAGGCTGCAGTAAAAGCTAAGCACCACTGCTCTAATGTATGTACGTATGTTGAACTTCTTTCGCACCGTACGTATCCAACCGTGCTAATCGGGTTGGCTACGTACGGTGAGAAATCCTTCCACCAGCAGTGCCATGAGCAAGCAGTTTCAGGCATCACCTTTACCGCTTTTCGATCGTCACCATTTTTTTTTCTTTTTACGAATCACCTATCCTCGACGTAGCACTGATGTGATGTTGGACTCCCGGCCAATGCAGCAGCAGCAGCAGCAAAACAACAAACATCACGCACATGCAAAAACACTGGCAGTCGAATGAGAGTTATCAGAATCTGACACCTCGTGGCGTGCGTGTGAACAACCCAGAGGAGTGCTTCGTCCGTCGTGTTCAGCGTCGCACACAAAACTTGGCAAATCACTCTTCCAGAACAAAATTTCCACGAGCCGCGTGAAGTGTGTGTGTGTGTTGTGAAATGCGCACGTGGTGCCTTGCAATCGGCGCGTTCATTTGGCGTTGGAACATCTCTAACGCCTCCTGTGCTGGTGCCCTTCCTTCTTTTTTTTAAAATAATTCTTCTTCTTGGTTCTTTCGGTAAAGTCACGTAGAAGGGAAGTAATACAATAATAAAAATAAAAAAACATGATAAAATAATTCTCACGACGTTTCGGCCACAACGCAAGCAGCCGTCTTCAGGTGAAGATTCTTAGTACTTCCCTTCTACGTGACTTTACCGAAAGAACCAAGATGATGAATCCCTGCAGTCACGAAAGCTTTAAATCGAAATTTATATAATTCTTCTTCACCATCTGCGCTCTGTCGGGGACACTCGATCGGCCAGCACCGAGGAGTTGTTCATTTTAGCGACGAGCGCGGAAAAGCGCGTACCGGGCTCGATTTGCCAATTGCGCAAACGCGCGGTGGTTTCGCGGCGGTGTTTGTAAACCCATCGTTGGATGCTATCGTGTTGGCCGCTTGCCAAATTGCCGACGAATGCGGATTCACGCGGAAGCTGCAACGCCGTGGGATTGGGTCCCCGATACGTCAAACGCTTGCCTCGTGGAAATGGCCGAACGGGCTCCGTTAATTTTCATACTCTTTGGTTCTTTCGGTAAAAGTCACGTGGGTAGAAAAATAATAGATCACGACGTTTCGATCGCAACACAAGCGAGAAACAACAGAAATAACAGCCGTTTTTTTTTGCTGCGGTTGTCCCGACCTGATGACGATTGCTTGTGTTGCGATCGAAACGTCGTGATCGATTATTTTTCTACCTACGTGACTTTACCGAAAGAACCAAAGAGTATGGATTCCTGCAGTCACGAAAGCTTCAAATCGGTTATTTCTGTTTAATACCCCAACGGAGCAAATGCTTTAACGCGCTATAGCGGAATACGTGACAGGCCCCGCATAAACGTCACGACATCGTCATATTTAAGGATAATGACCTCTCTGCCTTTGAATGTGTAAGAATACAATTACTCAATTATGCCTTCCATAATGTGGACATGCTCTGGATCCCATCTTCTCAGTACACCTCATAAAGAGAAGACCTTCCTATCCCGCCAAAAATAAATTTCACTGGGCAGGCTTTGGGACAATGCCAAATTATAACATTCATGGCAAGTTGTTTTGCCAACAACGTTGTGCTAAAGCCACACTTAATCCCCTCCCCCAACCACGATTGAGCCAGCATCATTTATCAAAGAATCTGTATCGATCAGCCTTTCCTAATCACCATTCACGAAAAATGGTGCAGCACACAGTTTTTTTTTGCTGCAGCTGCGTGAGATTATCCGCTTCAGATGCCTCAAAATTTCTCAATCGCGGTTGAGCAACGCGGTCGCGTTCAGGTATTTAAGTGTGACCCTCCGGCCACTTCCACAGCTTCAGTGCCACCCAAAGCCACCTTCGGCTCTCTCGTGTCTCTTCTCAAAGCCTCCACCGCCAACCACCCACCATGCCTATCGTCGACTCTGGAAGCGTTGGGGCCCTCTCTGCCTCTGAGAAGGCTGCGGTCGCCGGCAGCTGGAAGGCAGTGTACGCCAACTACGAGGCTGCGGGCAAGGCCGTTCTCATCAAGTGAGTGATGTGTGCGCGCGCGTGTGTGTGTTGTGTGTGTGTCGTGGGGAGCGGTAGTGTAGCGGTTAGCGCGCTGCGCTATGAACCTGGCGACCCGGGTTCGATTCCCGCTCACGGCTAACACCAGTGACGATTATCTGAACCGGTCCTGGGCCTCCCCTAGGTCGACTCAGCCTTAAATGAGTACCTGGTGCGGTATGTAAACATCGCCACTGGGGAGACAAAGGCGGTCGGGCGTGGTGCTGGCCACCCAACCCCCTCGTGTACCGTTCTGGCCTTCATAGGTGCTCGCTAACAGCACTTGCCCCTACAGTCTGTTAAGGCTATACGGGGGATCTTTGTCTTTGTCTTTGTTGTGGAACGTGGCGGGTTAACAGCGCTAACTGTCTTCTTGGTTCTTTCGGTAAAGTCACGTAGAAGGGAAGTAATAAAATAATAAAAATAAAAATAAAACATAATAAAATCATTCTCACGACGTTTCGGCCACAACGCAAGCAGCTGTCCTCAGGTGAAGACAGCTGCTTGCGTTGTGGCCGAAACGTCGTGAGAATGATTTTATTATGTTTTATTTTTATTATTTTATTACTTCCCTTCTACGTGACTTTACCGAAAGAACCAAGAAGATGAATCCCTGCAGTCACGAAAGCTTTAAATCGAAATTTAGCGCTAAATGTCGTGGGTTCACTCTCCAACACACCGGTGTGCTGAAGTAGTAACTAATTGACGCGTTTTATTTACGTGACAAACCTTACTGGTTGCCTGTGTCGGGTGGTGGCAGGTTAACGACACATTTATATTTGCGCGATCTAACCCAAAAAAACCTTCATTATGAACAATATTGTTCGGGAAAGCCTACGTGTTAAACTACATTAACAGCGCTGCTCAAGAGGCTCAGAGAGGTGGAAACGTGTTTAGCAAGAGGTGTCCTATTGCTTCAACAAACGCCACTGGACACATTTGTCCAGATGGCTGATGACTTGGCAGTTGAGCTAAACGCTATTTTATTTTGGCAATGATGAAAGATGCATGCCTTCCCTGTTTCTTATCATTGGTATACGTGTTTTTTTTTACATTGTCAATTACATGATTACAAAATCCACGCATAGAGTGATTTTCTCAAGCAGGAGCTCTAAGATTGAAGTTGAAATCCACGTGATGTCAAGCTGGAGGTCTCTCAATTAGCTCCGATACGTAATTTATACTTGTTTGGCAATCGATCAATTTATTCGTGCGATGAGTACCTTGCAGAGGGGAACTTTATAATTGTCATTTAAAATCATAATTATGAATAAATATTTATTTCTCACGCAAGAACCCGGCATATTGCAAACTTTAAAAGACATTTTTGGAACCGTATTAATTTCTTTAGATCAAGACGATACACATTTTTTTTTACAACCTATGCAATGTTTAATGTGGTGAGTTTTTTCTTCTTCTTCCAGAAATGACTCTTGATGTTGTAATTCCAAATGTAGTTTTTACTCCTCCACCAACCTCTCTGTGCCCTCTCCCCCCCATCCACCCACCACACCCTCCTTACCATCACCAGGTTCTTCACGTCCAACCCCGGCGTGCAGGACTTCTTCCCCAAGTTCAAGGGGCTCGACTCGGCCGACAAGCTGAGCAAGTCTCCCGCCGTGCGCTGGCACGCCGAGAGGATCATCAACGCCGTCAACGACGCCGTGGTGGCCCTGGACGACCCCGAGAAGCAGAACCTGAAGCTCAAGGCCCTGAGCCAGAAGCACGCCTACGAGTTCCACGTGGACTCCCAGTACTTCAAGGTACGTGGCACCGCAACTCAACGATGGCATTTTTAAATCCTTTATATTAAGTTCGCTTGCTTGCGTGCTTGCTTGATTGCTTACGACCGTGCAAATCTTTCGGTCGTTTTTAACACACTTCCCGTGATCCAATCGAGCTGACATTTTCCACACAGACTCGTTGTGCGTGATAATTAATTTTCCTGAAATTTTTTTTCCAAAATTTTACACTGTTTATGGAATTTTTTTAAAATATTTAATTACCAATGGCTTAACGCTGGCAGACAATCATCTGACCCATAGGTGGCAGCCATCTCAAGCCAGAGGACGAGAGGACTCGAGCCGCCACGCAAATAAAGGATTTAGAGTGAAAAACTTTATTTTTACGGGTTAATTTTTATGCCTTGCAATCACTCTGAATGTGCCCCCTCCCTCCCTCCCTCTCTCATCTCGTCAGATCTTGGAAACTAAGCAGGGTGTGTTGAGACTGGTTAGTAATTGGATAGATTGGCTGGGAATGTCAGGTGTTGCACGCTTGGGCACCAAGGTAGGCAGAGGATGGCTCTAGTGCGGTCTTCTTTCATTGCAAGGCCCGTGGGCCATTCGCGGCACCTGGTGGTATTCAGTGTGGCCCGAGACGTGCGGCCCCCGACAATACACAAATGTGAAGTCACCCCTTGCAGGCGGTGTGGCGGCGCTCAGACTGATGATGTCTCAGCGGCGAACGTGCCCCCATTTGAAAATTAGTGAAGAACGCTGCTCTAGCGCAATGAAACTCTTGCAGCTACACTTTGTACGTAAAGCCAAAGAGTGATTTGATGTCACTGGCCAAACATACCGATGCAGAAACCTCACCGACAAAAAAAAGTCTTAAAGACTCACCATTGCATGTGACGCCAAGGCCTCGCCTTAGCCTCCACGTTGACACTCTAAGTAATCCAAAATGATGTGTTCTGCTCAGGTGCTGTCCGCCACCATCCTGGAGGAAGTGGACCATGCCAACGGTGGCCTGTCAGCCGACGGCAAGTCCGGCTGGGAGAAGCTTCTGAGCAGCATCTGCATCCATCTCAAGTCTGCCTATTAACTGCGCTCTCATGCCATGAAGTCGAAGAGCGCGTCGCACGCTTTTTGAAAATTATCAGAAAGTTGCTTGCTCGAATAAGATGGTTTTCGTGGTGCTGCCCAACACTGAACGTGCCAATCATATGTAAATCATCGCCAAAATGCTGCTATGAATAAAATAAAAACAATATGCAACCGACCGCAGTGTCTTTAATAAGCGTGAGCAGAGAATCCTTGTGGCTGTATTACACTTCACTACAGAGTTGTGTTTAAAAGAAAAGCAAGTGCAGATGACTTTTCAAACGGGCCCATGTAAGGACATCTCCGAGTGTAACGGATCTCGCCCGACTGCAACGTGGAGCATCTGCGTAGCACGGCGTCTCACAGCCCTACTGCTCGCAGCGGCAAATCCATCGAGAAGGCACGGAAGAACTGCTTTGTGTGTTTAGTTTCTTGTCCTTCCCCGGCACCTCTGATTAGCGCGGTTGGCTATGTAGAGTGTGAAAGAAGTTCAACATACACACAAAGTTTGTTCGTCCATCAGTCACCCACAACTGGATATCGTTATCAAGAAAAACGTAGGTATAGTTCAATAATTATTGGGCAATACCAACGCTTTTCTTCTAATTAATATATATATACATTTTAATTAATGTATATTAATTCAATTACAATTACGTGAAAGTTGTGTTAATTACACTCTGCAATACAAACTAATTAATTGCACTGGTGAGAGATTGCACACCTAACCAGGTTAATCATACTGCTGGCAATCCACCTGCCAGGTGGCTCAGCGTTGGAGCGAGCAGTTCGCGACATCGGAAAGTAGAGAGTCCGAAACCCGATTTAAAGCTTTCGTGACTGCAGGGATTCATATTCTTGGTCCTTTCGGTAAAGTCACGTAGAAGGGACATAATAAAATAATAACATTTTATGTTTTATTATTGTATTATTTCCCTTCTACGTGACTTGAGCGAAAAAAACAAGAATAGAGTTCAAATCCCGGTTGGGGGTTGGCTCAGCCGATGTAAATGAGCGCCACCCCAGGTAAATGAAGCAGGCTCTTTAGATGACGGATACACACACACACACACACATATAAATATAACAATTTAGTACTCACACCAATCGCTGTTTTGTAGAGGAGTAGAGTCTGTCAACAGGGGGGTGATCTTGCTGTGGTGTCACCCATTTAAGTGATTTTAGGATTTTTTTTAATTTGGACCGTAAAAGTGGCACACATTGGCCTCCTCGTTTATTTATTTTTTATATATAACATCACAATCTTGAACATCCACTGTGAAATAAAATGGCCCACGCAATGTTATCATCAATACACCCGCAGTATTAACCAGAGTGGCCGCTGGGCTCGAATCCCGGACCTCTGCAATGCGCAATGAACCCGCTAGCGCTCGGTCACGTAGTCCGTCGCAGTCCAACTTCATTGCTGGACACAACTGAGAGACAGCTGAGGCCAGATGTCTCCTTTTCAAGGGAGATCTATGGAATTGTCCCGTGCAGATGAAGCGCTTCATAGAGGACAACAACAGTCGGTTAGTCAGAGCATCGCCGCGCGCCGTTTCAAGTCTCGGAAAACCTCACCGAAACAATGTCCACAGCAATGGAGACACTTGAACTGCGTTTTATTCACAATGACCCACAGGCACCGAGAAGACCCCCAGCTGTGAGCAGGAGCCTCTGGAAACAAGTAGCGTCACCTGTTTAGGCATATTTCTCCCCTCGTTCTCTCTCGCTTGCATGCGTGTTGAACTTCTTTCGCGCCGTACGTAGCCAACCGTGCTAATCGGAGGTGCCGGGGGGAAGTACAACTCACAGAGATCGAGGTGCCACGTCCCGGCTCTTCACTACAGTTCCCTCCTCCGCCTCAGCGAGTAGCGCAGGCAACCGCACACACGCTACCACCACCCCCATGCCGCGTCCTTCCACGTTTACCAATTTATTCCTCCCCGTCCAAATTGACTTGTTCCATGCCGCACGCGCTCACTCGATGACCGTTAAACACGTCCAACGTGACGCGCTTTTAGCCTAAACATTTTTTTATTGAAAATTATTTGAATGAATCTAAATAACCCATTGATGCACACGCACAAATACACATCGCGTAGTAAACGTGTGCGCATATTCATGTGTGCCATTGTCTCCCGACTAACAATGTTAACATATCGCACCAGGTACTCAATTGATGCTGAGCCGACCGAGGCGAGGCCAAGGAACGGTTCAGATAATCGTCACCGGTGTTGGCCGCGAGCGGGAATCGAACTCGGGTCGCCGGGTTCGTAGCACAGCGAGCTAACTGCTGCACCACCGCTCCCCTTCCGTGGAAAATTCATGCATTAATTAGATCTCCCGCACACAACGAGAACTGCAGGCATCACGAGCGTGACACTCGCCTTCAAACGACGAATTTGATCGTGAAACATCGCGGGCCCCGCAACGGTGCTACGTCCTGCCCCGCCGAGAGACTCGGCAGCGGCAGCAGAGGCAGCAGCAACGCTGGAGCTTCCGCTCAGAAGACCAGGACGCTCCACCCGGGGTGGGTGAAGGAGCAGCCGAAGTAGAGGACCTCCCAGGCCTGCTCCAGCAGCCATTCGGACACCACCTCGCGTTCAGCGCACGCCACGCTCACGCGCAGCCTGTGCGGCGCTCCGCGGAGAGCGGCCGGCAGGCCCAGAGGCCCCGGGGGAGGCACCACGGGGGAGCCGGGCTCCGGGCCCTCGGTGCCGAAGGTGACCGTCATGCCGACGGCCAGAGAGGGCAGCTGGTTGGTCATCTCCTTGCCGTTCACGATCACGGCGCCTGGCGGGATGGGCGTTGTTGTTAACGTGAGCGTCGGCATTGCCACCACCGCAGTTATTGCTGCCGCTGCCGACACGGGCAACACCATCACCGCCATCGTCACCATCATCACGATCGTTCGAATCGCCGCTACCATTGTCACCATCAAAATCACGAGCATTGTCATCATCATCATTATCGCCACGACCACCTAATCATCATCATTAGTATAATATTACCATTATTGTCATCACTGCCAACCTTCATTATCATCACCATCATCACCATCACCACTGTCATCACCGCCACACACCATCATCATCACCACCACCACCACCGTCATCATCATGAGGTGGGTGTAACTTGACAGGAGTGCTGCGGTGTGACGCACCGTTGGAGGCGATGCAGAGGGCGCCGTTCCAACGGAGGGACTTGGCGTCGGCTCGGGGCTCCACGCAGAGCCCAATGGTGTCATCCCACCCAAGGGGGCCCACCCGCTCAACCCTGAGGACGGGGAGCAGTGGGGGGGGGGGGACGGGTACAGTTCATAGCCTCTAAGGCTAGTGCTTAGAGACCCCATTATAGACCGGTCTGCCAGTCTATTATTGTCTAGAGACCCCATCAAGAGACCAGTCTGTGAGTCTATTATTGTCTAGAGACCCCATCAAGAAACCAGTCTGTGAGTCTATTATTGTCTAGAGACCCCATCAAGAGACCAGTCTGTGAGTCTATTATTGTCTAGAGACCCCATCAAGAAACCAGTCTGTGAGTCTATTATTGTCTAGAGACCCCATCAAGAGACCAGTCTGTGAGTCTATTATTGTCTAGAGACCCCATCAAGACACCATTCTGAGACCCTTTCAGATCATTCTGCCAGTCTATTATTGTCTAGAGACCCCATCAAGAAACCAGTCTGTGAGTCTATTATTGTCTAGAGACCCCATCAAGAGACCAGTCTGTGAGTCTATTATTGCCTAGAGACCCCATCAAGACACCATTCTGAGACCCTTTCAGATTATTCTGCCAGTCTATTATTGTCTAGAGACCCCATCAAGACACCATTCTGAGACCCTTTCAGATTATTCTGCCAGTCTATTATTGTCTAGAGACCCCATCAAGACACCATTCTGAGACCCTTTCAGATTATTCTGCCAGTCTATTATTGTCTAGAGACCCCATCAAGAGACCAGTCTGAGACCCTTTCAGAGACCAGTCTGTGAGTCTATTGCCAAGAGACCCCATCAGAGACCGGTCTGTGAGTCTATTGCCTAGAGACCTCATCAGAGGTGGGTATTGTCAGTCCATTACTGTCAAGTCGTTTACTGATCTGCGTGATAATATAGTTGTGACGCGGCACGTGATCCGCCAACCCTTCGCGGCCTTCCTCGCTGACGGCACAACAGGGGAGGGGGGGGGGGCTCACCTGAAGCTCACGGAGTGACCGAGGGCCAGGCTGGGTCGGCTCGAGTAAAGGGCTGTGCCCCCTGGCCCCGAGCCCCGCGTCGCCACGTCCCTCCGTGCGCTCAACGCAAACCCCGCGTGGTCCGGCCTCCATTCTGTCAATCACCAACGAGAGCAGATGTGTCACCAACGACACCAGGTGTTTCACTACAGGTGTGTCACTAACGACACTAGGTGTGTCACTAACGACACCAGGTGTGTCACTAACGACACAGGTGTGTCACTACGACACCAGGTGTTTCACTACAGGTGTGTCACTAACGACACTAGGTGTGTCACTAACGACACCAGGTGTGTCACTAACGACACAGATGTGTCACTAACGACACCAGGTGTTTCACTACAGGTGTGTCACTAACGACACTAGGTGTGTCACCAACGACACAGATGTGTCACTAACGACATCAGGTGTGTCACTACAGGCGTGTCACTAACGACACCAGGTGTGTCACCAACGACACCAGGTGTGTCACTAACGACAGCAGGGGGTGTCGTCAACAGGAGTGTAAATCAGATGTATCTCGAGCAGGTGTGTTAGGAACAGGTGTTTCACTACAGGTGTGTCACTAACGACACCAGGTGTGTCACTAACGACAGCAGGGGGTGTCGTCAACAGGAGTGTAATTCAGATGTATCACGAGCAGGTGTGTTAGGAACAGGTGTTTCACTACAGATGTGTCACCAACGACACAGGTTGGTCACTACGACACCAGGTGTATCACTACAGATGTGTCACTAACGACACAGGTGTGTCACTACGACACCAGGTGTGTCACTGCAGGTGTGTCACTAACGACACCAGGTGTGTCACCAACGACACCAGGTGTGTCACTAACGACAGCAGGGGGTGTCGTCAACAGGAGTGTAATTCAGATGTATCACGAGCAGGTGTGTTAGGAACAGGTGTTTCACTACAGGTGTGTCAATAACTTGTGTTACCATCAGGCATGTAACCGATGACAGATACTTCGTGAACAGATGTTCCACCATCGGGTATGTAAGTACGTATGTTGAACTTTTTTCGCACCGTATGCAGCCAACCGTGATAATTGGAGATGCGAGGGAACAAATAACACTAACTAAACTCAAAAAGCAGTTCTAAAGAAATGAGTTTGTCAATCTCGGTGACGATTTAAAAGTGCATAACTCCAGTGGCTTCCTAATATCGGAGGGAAGAGCGTTCCAGACGGCCTCAGAAGCTCATGTTGAAAGCGCGCGATGCGGCGACCTTCTTTGTTCGACGGTTAACCAGTATCTTCTTGGTTCTTTCGGTAAAGTGACGTAGAAGGGAAATAATAAAATAATAAAAATAAAACATAATAATTATTTTGTCAAGGCGCTCTTCCCCCTCCAACCCAGCTTAAATAGACGCTCCAAGCCTGGGGTGTTTCATTCAGACGCTGTCTTCCCGACAGACCTGTTCTTCACCTGAGGACGGCTGCTTGCGTTGTGTCCGAAACGTCGTGAGAATTGTATTTTATTATGTTTTATTTTTATTATTTTATTATTTCCCTTCTACGTGACTTTACCGAAAGAACCAAGAAGATGAATCCCTGCAGTCACGAAAGCTTTAAATCGAAGGTCAACCAGTAGCCGCTGTGGCGAGGATGACCGGAGGTCACGTGATTACGCTTTATGCTCCTTGACGAGCTCGGCGAGGTGATGGCGGTTCATTTGTGGCGAGCGCTTTGTGTGCAACGAGTGCGATCTCATAAAGTGCGTCGTCACACCATCATGTCCGTCACCGTCAAGGTGTGTCACTGACGCACGGGGGTGGTTACAACGGAAGGAGGCACGGACCGTGCGCGGGTAGCGGGGTGCTGGTCGTGACGGGCACGCTCCAGGCAATGGGGCCTTCGGGGCCTCCTTCGCGGGCCCCCACGCGGAACGTGAAGTCTGCGTGCGGCTCCAGATGGGGCACCGTGAACTCGGCATCGGGGCCGCAGTACACCTGGGGGGGGGGGGGGCACGAGGAAGGGGGGAGGGGGCGGGGGTGGGGGAGTAGGGTAGATGGGGGGTGTACAGAGTAATGAAATAAACTATTGACACGGTGATGGTGTGGTGGTGATAATGGTGGAGGTGGTGGTGATAATTAAAGTGTGGTAGGGATGGTGAAAATATACATGATGAAAACGACTTAAAATATTTAATCTGGACGATCCCTTGAGATAACAACACCTCGTTTGCAAGGATGTCCAAGGGCGTCAACGGACACAAACATAGCAAGCACTTAATGAGACACGTAAAACATTGTACATTTTTTTTACTTGTACAGTTCTCTGTATTTATAGAGCTGATGATGATTCTAATGAAAATTATAACTGTGAAAATGATGATGATGGTGGTGATTTTTCGATTTAAAGCTTTCGCGACTGCAGGGATTCATCTTCTTGTTTCTTTCGGTAAAGTCACGTAGAAGGGAAATAATAAAATTATAAAAATAATAAAAAAAATCAGACGCTGTCTTTCCGACAGACCTGTTCTTCACCTGAGGACGGCTGCTTGCGTTGTGGCCGAAACGTCGTGAGAATTGTATTTTATTATGTTTTATTTTTATTATTTTATTATTTCCCTTCTACGTGACTTTACCGAAAGAACCAAGAAGATGACGGTGGTGATGATTGTGAAAATTCTATTGTTTAAATAATATTGCTGATTAAATTACAGCGATGAAAAAATAACAAAACGGTGCTGTCGGTGATGGCTTCAATGAGGATGTTGCAAATGGCGATGAAGTTTAATGGTGGCGATGATGACGACGATGACGATGATGAAGGAAGGAGCCCGTACCCTGGTCATCTGCGCTACGTCCTCCGTGCGACCGCGGCAGTACTCGAGGACGTACTCTTGCACGGGGAACTCCTCGTCCACCTACGGCAAGCAGACAAGACAAAGATCCCCCGTACAGCCTCAACATACTTTGGGGAAAGTGCTGTTAGTGAGCACCTATGGAGGGCGGTACGGTACCTGGGGGACGTAGTTGGGCAGCATCACACCCAACCGCCTTTGTCTCCCCAGTGGCGATGTTTACCATCCCACCAGGTACTCATATTGAGTCGACCTCGGGGAGGAACCCCAGGACCGGTTTATGTAACCGTCACTGGGTGTTGGCCGTGAGCGAGAATCAAACTCGGGTCGCCGGGTTCGTAGCGCGGTGCGCTAACCGCTGCACCACCGCTCCCCGCACACAACCACGTCGTTCTCATTGGCTGATCGAATGTAAACAAAGATGGATTTTCTGATTTTGGGGAAGGGGGGGGGATATCTCCAGTACAAAAAAACGCAATAACGAATCAGCATTCTACGGGGTCGCTATGCCAAGTCTGTATGCATACACAAAGAAATTTGGAAGGTGATCCAACCCCTGTTCCTCCTCTCGGCGGGTTCGGAGCACCACCGCTTCCCTCTCTCTCTCTATAGAAGCACACGCGCGCACCTTACACCACCGCACACGCACGGCGGCTGGGCGCGCGTTCGTCTCCTCGAGCTGCACAGGAGCGCGCGGAGCGACGCGGCCGTGAGCGGCGAGCACCGAGCAGAGCCGAGGTCCCAGCGACGCGTCCAGCGAGGCCCGCACACACGCCACCTCGCCCAGCGCCGGCACCTCGGGCAGGCTGCGTGGGGCACACGTGGGCATGAGACACTGGGGCATAGGGGGGACGCCGGATGAAGGGCACGGGCGTATGATATCGGGTGCTGCGGTGGCAAGATGGTTTTTTTTCCCCTCCACATTTAGGAAGAGTATTTGGCTGAATTTTTTTTTCGATTTAAAGCTTTCGTGACTGCAGGGATTCATATTCTTGGTTATTTCGGTATTTCCCTTCTACGTGACTTTACCGAAAGAACGAGTATTTGGCTGCTATAAATGTCTACGTGAAAAGCCACTTCACTGAGTTTATTTGTGGTAAGGTGGCTTCTGAAAAAAGAGCTATATAGATCAGTGGGCCTTTCGTGGTCAAAAAAAAGTTCAGTTTGAATCTTGATTTGAAGCTTTCGTGACTGCATGAATCCATACTCTTTAGTTCTTTCGGTAAAGTCACGTAGGTGACCTTTACCGAAAGAACCAAATGTATAGTTCAGTTTTAGTTCTGTTTGAAATATACGGGGACAATGGGATGGGCGGGACATGGTGGCATGAGATGCGAGGAGACAGGAGGTAGAAGGGCATGTTGGGGCATAGTGTAAAGAAGAAATGACGATGTGGGAAATGTAGGTACGTGGTCATGGCAACATGGGGCATGGTTTGCGGGGACACGGAGACAAGCTTGGGGACACGAAAAGAGAGCCGAGGGCATGAGACAAAGAGACTTGGGGAATGGGAACACGCAAAATTGGGACTACCGCGAATGCTACTTGGAGTAGGGACACGTGATGCCAATGGAATTGTGTCTGCATTGAAGGGGGAGGGTGGGCGGGGAATGTTCGTCATGGGCACGTGAGGGCAAGGACAGGCAAGCAATTGGGGGAGCAGGTAGAGGTGGTTATGGAGGAAACAGCAAGGGGTTCGGCAATGGGTAGAGTGCAAGGGGACATAACTAGGGCAGAGGAAGGGAAGGACAGGGCAGGTAAGATGCTGAGTTCCTCCTGCAGCAGGAGAAGCTGATGCTGCTGCAGCTGCTGCAGCTGCTGCTGCTGCTGTTGCTGCTGTTGCTGCTGCTGCAGCTGCTACTGCAGCTGCTGCACCTGCTGCTGCTGCTGCCCCACCCTCACCTGCCCAGCTGCACCTGCAGAGACCTCTGAGTGAAGCTGGCGAGGAGCGACTCCTGCTCCAGACCCGACGAGGCCAGGGCCGCCTCACCTGATGAGGAAAGCGGCGTCATCGACGATGACGTCATCGATGGCAACAGAGCCATTGACGACAACGAAGACGGCAACATAAACTGAACGCGTGCGAACTCATCCGATCGATTACACTGGTCAACAACAACAACAACAACAAACATTTTTTTCTGGCCTGGACTTTTGCAGATGTTATAGACTAATTTCAGGGTGCTGATTCCAAATCTGATCTCAGATTTGCTCTATCACATCTCATTTTTATGCTATCGGCATACCCCATTTTCATTGATTTTACCCGAAATTAACTCTGTCACTTATGATTGCAAGTTGTTGCGAGTCAGTGACTGCTTTAGTGTTAAAATATGGTGCTGTATTTCTAGGATAGCGTGTTTATAATACCATTTTATGGAGATATCCACAATTATTTAATATTTCTTCTGCAGTTTTTATTGAAAATGCAATATTTGATATCTCAAAAACCTGATGTGATAGACAAAAACCGATGCCAGATTTGGAATCAGCACCCCAAAATCACCCTAGAAGCGTTGGAATACCTCATGCCAGAAAAAGTGTGTTGACCAGTCTTAGCCTCGATGTCGTGAATGTACGTTGTAACGTCTTTTGCACCGTACGTAGCCAACCGCGCTAATCGGAGGCACGGTGCATCTCACCGCCCCCCCACCACCCCACCCACTGATCCCACCTTCTGCGAGCAACTCCTCGACGGCGTCCACCCGCTGACGGATGAGCTGCGTGCACTCGCGCAGCGGCCGCGACGCGTCGCTCACCATGCCGCGCACGGCAGCGCACAGCACTTCCCTGCGCGCCGTCACCGCCGCCGCCAGCGCCGCCTCGAGCCCGGCAAAGTGGCTGTCGAGCGCGGCAAGGGTTCGCTCGCCGCTCACGCTCACCTGCGTGCCCGCGTGTATGCGTGGTGCGGTAGGTGGGGAGGCATGTTGAGTTTCTTTCGCACCACCGGACGTAGCCAACCCGTGCTAATCGAAGGTGCTTGGGGGGGGGGGGGGGGGGGATGACATCAAACTAAACACAAAAAGAAGCAGTTTTAAAGAAAATCGTTTTCGATATAGATTATTTTAAAGTGCACTAGCAGAAGTACCCGGCGTTGCCCGGGTGAAAAATATATTTCTTAATAACCTTACATATATACACAGATGGGCTGCTACCCCTGCCCCCCCCCCAGCCACGATCTCCTCGGCCGCTGTGCAGTAATATGTACGGCCTATAGTGTGGTGGGGTGTCGAGGCCTAGTACCGTGCAGAGCCTCCGGCCTCGCCTAAATTGCCCACCTGGTTGAGGCTGGGTACGGGTGCCGTTCCCCCCCCCCCCCCCCCGCGCTACAATAATACTGTCTAATCGCTATAATTTTATTATCTACCGACCCTATAATAGTAATTGCACACATTGGGGTGGGGGGGGGGAGTGAAGAGGACGTGAAACTTTGATGAATTTACCTCAGAGTCGCGTGTTAATGCGTGCGCATATTTTTAACGGGAATTAAAAATGGCGTCCACCCCGCAGCGAATGCGTCGCTACCCGTTGCCAGGGGCAACCGCCGTCCAATGAAACTGCGTATGGTCCGGCGACACACAGACAGACAGACAGATTTGCGATTTTATATATATAGATAACTCTAGTGGTGGCACCATAAGCGAGATGGACACGCATGTATACCGTGATGGCCTTGACCCGCAGTGTCTCCGAGGTAGCGCATGTTGAGTTTGTGTTGATTGTGTTGTGTCACGTGTCCATCATCAGTGCAAGGTCCCACGCGCCACTGGCGGTCCCTGGTGGCTATCTCGTGAGGCCCCTGGCGTGCGGCCCGCCGGCAATACAAATGTGTGGCGGCTCCTCACACTGATGTCTCGAGAGCTAAAAGTGTGGGGGGCCCACACACTGACGTCTTGAGAGTTAAAAGTGTGGGGGGCTCACACCCTGATGTCTTAAGAGTTAAAAGTGTGGGGGGCCCTCATACTGATGGCTTGAGTGATTAAAGTGTGGGGGGCCCTCACACTGACGTCTTAAGAGTTAAAAGTGTGGGGGGCCCTCATACTGATGGCTTGAGTGATGAAAGTGTGGGGGGCCCCTCACACTGATGTCTTAAGTGATAAAAGTGTGGGGGGCCCTCACACTGACGTCTTAAGAGATAACGTGTGGGGGGCCCTCACACTGACGTCTTAAGCTAAAAGTGTGGGGGGCCCTCACACTGACGACTAAAGCTAAAAGTGTGGGGGGCCCTCACACTGACGTCTAAAGCTAAAAGTGTGGGGGGCCCTCACACTGACGTCTTGAGGGCTAAAAGTACCCCCCCCCCCGCCCCCAATGGAGATTAGTGAAGAACACTGTTGTGATATTGGTTAGCGCTCTGGCGAAGAACATCCGGTAAACCCAGCAGCTTTTTGTTTGACAAGCCTCACTCGGCTGATGAGACCGGGAAGGTGAAACCCGCTGGATCCGTTTAAACGCAATCAACAACAACCGCAACATTCGCCACTCAGCGACGGTGGTTGACGTCAACGCGGCGCTCGTGCCAGGCTAGGTGCACCTCGAGCACACGCACGCACCTGCTGGCTGGCGAGGTGCAGCTGTTGCAGACGTTGGAGCAACTCGCTGCGGTAATCCAGCGCCTCTCTCACGCTCTCTCTCACCTCGTCGGCACCATCATCACCTCCTCCACCTCCTCCACCACCACCTCCTCCATCATCGCATCTCGCTCCACCATCACCACCACCACCTCCTCCTCGCTCCGGTGTTGATGGAAGGTGATTCACTCCCACCACCACCCCTGTGCTCGTCATGGGAAATGATCTTCTTCTTTTTGGAGGGAAGAGGAAATGCGATAATTTACAACAACAACAACAAAATCACAATCGAATCATCAGCCATGGTCAATCCACTGCTGGATGAATGCCCCCCCCCCCTTACCCTCGGTCGTATTTTTATTTATGTATTACATTTCTTAGTGAAAAACACACTTCAGAAGTATTGATCGAGTTTGTTTTTGACGCGCTGATAACGACGTTACCGTTCGCCCGATATCGCTAATTGATCATTATAAGACGCACCGCTCCCGCGCTCCCCTCAAACTTTGCTCTAATATCACCAAGAGGGGGGGCAGGGGCGATAACGCGCGTGGTATAATCCGGACGATACGGTAATATAGAAGAAGATATCGATAACAAGAGGGGAGAGGGGGAGGGGAGAGAATACACGCTCGAGAAAATTCGCCTCCCGCGCAAAGCAAACATGGTCAACGAACAATGTCAAATTGCGGAACTAGCGTGCCTTATATGAAATGTATTTTTATTCAAATCGTCGACAGCACACGCGCAGCTGCGTAACGACAGATTCACGAACACGAGGCTCGACTTTACCTTAACTCTCGCGCCGCTCGCAAATTGTACCTTCAAAATGACGAGTTTTTATTTATAAAAAAATAAAATAAAAATGCTTTCGCAAAGTTGTAGAGCGTCGCGCGCACGCACGCGCGTCAATGTGCGCGCGCACGTCGCGTTAACACCCGAGGGGGGGAGGCGCGGCCCTGCCCCGCCACGCCCGCCCAAGCTTCCGCGGATTTCTTCTCTTCAACGCCGCCGCGGATTTCTATTCCAAGACAGCCCTCCACCAAACCACGCCACTCTCATTGCCCCACCGTGACGACGGGAAACCGGCTCCCCGCGAGGTGCGATTGCAAGAACAGCGGCGCCCGGGTGCAGCTGATAACTTACAACAACAACAATAATAAGTCTAGATTTGAAGCTTTCGTGACTGCAAGGATTCATACGCTTAGGTTTTTTTGGTAAAGTCACGTAGGTAAAAAAAAATAAAATGATAGAAATAATAACAGAAATAAAGTAATAAATCACGACGTTTCGGGCGCAACACAAGCGTCCGTCATCAGGTGGGACAACCACAGCAAGAAGAGTTCGAAGGAGGAAGGGTCTCCTCCGCCGACGGCACGATGAAACCGGCTCGTGTTGGTGTAGATGATCGACTAATTATTATTTTACATTTAGATTAGACCTCGGCAGGATCGTGATAGATGGCGGCTGCTTGGGGGGGGTGGGGGGGGGGTCCTTAATCCAGCAGTGGATTGACCAAGGCTGATGATGATAATGAATAATGGAATCTTTACCCAGGAGAAGCCTCACTGAGTCTCGAGACTCGTTTTCAGGAGGTGTCTTTGCTACCCTGGGATGTTTCGCCAATGCCACGAATGATTTAGGCTTTCGTGTGGGTGATACACACACACACGCACAGACCGGTTCACGAACCCGCTTGCTGTACTTGCCCATAACTTTTTTACCCTACATTGCTGGGGTCACAAAAAAGATCTCCAAAATCCTGATTAAACACAAGATCCAGGTCCGATTCAACACAGTACATAAAAAATCCGTGATCTGGTACCGTCTGTAAAAGATGTGGTTCCAGACATACAGTACCCTGGCGTCTACAAACTAAGTTTCCTCTGTGGTAGCAGTTACATTGGGGAAACCAAACGACATGTCTCGGACCGCATCCGTGAACATAAAGCTGACCTGAAACACGGTAGGACAAACACCTCAGCCGTGGCAGATCACTGTTACAACTCAGTGGGCTCACATGATATTGACTTCTCCAAGACAGAGGTTCTCTGCAAGCCATCTGGCTATCATGAGAGATTCGTTCATGAGGCGATCCACATATACAAACACAGAGACAATTTTAACCGAGAAGATGGATTCTGGCTTAGCAATCATTGGAAGGACGTAATAAATCATTTCGACACACATTAGGGTGGGTAGAATAATACATAGTGTTATATTAAATGTATAAGGTATAGGTTGGTTTACAGCAATACAGTATATAATTTAATGTTGGCAGTATATAGTACGGTATATGCTCGTGTGATGCAATAGAATAAAGTTTAGATGGAAGCATATTATATCATTTTTACGACGTAGAATTGTAATGTATTACTTGCTGTTAGTAACTCAGCTTATTGTAGAGTATAGTAAGTATACTGATGGTGCTATGCAATTTATACTTTAGTTTTTTATGTAGTTTATACTTTAGTTTTCTACGGGGTTGTTGAGTAACTGCAGCTACATATCATTAACATTCCTTTCCTTTGTTACTGCTAATCCCTGCACCCCCCCTTGGTGCTGTTGATCCTGCATAATGCATGGGCATAATATGACTTTGAAACCCCCCCGCCCACCTCCTACGCATTTTTCATGAATATGCTAAATTCCTCTTCATATGCACATTCTTTTGTTAAGGCGCTCTTCTTCCACCTCCAACGCAGCTTATATATAAGCTCCTAGCTTGGCAGTGTCTCATTCTTCACCTGAAGACGGCTGCTTGCGTTGTAGCCGAAACGTCGTGAGACTTACGCGCACCGAACTAGATCAGTTAGACAAGACACAAAGCGCTGGACCGCAGGCGCGCGGCAAGTTAAACCTACAATGGAAAATCAATTAACCTATTACATCAGTAAATGTAACCTAATAATTCGTCGATTTAATCAGCATGCGTGCGGTAAGACTGATACCTGGACCAGCAGCTACGGCAGAGTGGACACGGCCAAAAAGAATCTTCCAATGTATGCGCATTGATTCTCTTTTCCAAATACATGTATAAACTTTGACGTCCAATGTAGAACCTTCCTATATAGAGCCACCTTCTCAACCGATATAGACCCCGTATCCTATACAGAACCATGAACACATCGATAGATAACCCGTGATTCGTCCAATATAAAATCATCGCCTCATCCAATAAAGAAACATCGTCTCGTCCCATACAGATCCCTCGTACGATCCAATCCCGGGAGCATCCGTAGGGTGCCGTGCAACGCTTCACATCTTCACCGTCACGACAATTAACTCCAACCATTCCCAATCCACGAACGGATGAAAAGCCTCCCCAATCCATTTTATATTAAGCGGGGAGGGTCTCATGATTTAAACCATTCTGGAATTATACCATCCTTTTTTGGTTCTTTCGGTAAAGTCACGTAGGTAGAAAGAACCAAACGAGTATTGATTCATGCAGTCACGACAGCTTCACATCAAGATTTAGACCATACTTCACCAGGCTGGTCAGTGCGAGCTGGCGAAGGGCAGGATCGTGAACTGGCGTTGGCCGTGGCCGGGAATCGAACCGCTGTGACCTCCCTCCCTCCCCACCGCGTCTCCGTGCGTGCACGTCAATTAGACGTCTTTGTCAAGTCGACAGGCTTCGTTCGAGTTCACTTTCAGTTTCATTTATTTGGTATAACCCCGTGAGCCATTCGGCTCTTGAATCGGGTGCAACCGCAACAAACAAAAACATGAACAAGAAAACATTAAAGTGATGAGTGCCCGCGTTCAACTGTGACGCCGTGGCCGCGTGCAGTCACGGGTTCATGACTCAAACCGAGAAACTGTCAGCGACGTCTACAAAGTCCCGCACTGTCTCTCTCTCTCTCTGTGGGTGTGTGCTGGAGTGATGTTGGAGCGGTGGTGCTGCGGTTAGCGCGCACAGCGCAAAGAAGCCGGTGGATTTCTCAACCCAGCGCCATCTCGAATTGAAATCCTAATGTTGACAAGAAACATTGGCAATTAACAAACACATTCCTGCGGAGGGAGCTGGTAGGAACGTTGGGTTGCTCGGTCAATGGCCAGGGTCAACGGCGGCGTGGTGTATTCCGAAAATATGCCCGACTGTGAGGGCGGGCACAAGCCGGCGTGAGTAGGTTAAACGTTGAGTTTTATAAGGGCACCACGGGGTGACCAGCCCCTTCCCACCCAGCCCCACCCTCCCACCCAGCCCCACCCTCCCCACCCAGCCCCTCCCCACCCTCCCCACCGAGCCCCAACCTCCCCACCCAGCCCCTCCCCACCCTCCCCTCCCCACCCAGCCCCTCCCTGCACGATGGACACAATAATCCCCTGTGGGCTGGTGTAACCAGGAGGTTCCTACCAGTAAAATATAGAATTAATCGGTTCCCGTGTCTGTCTTGTCTGTATCTCTCTTGTCTCAGCTTGTATACGTCTGTGTCTTTCTTGTCTACATCTCTCTCCTCTCAAAACAGTGGTCTCTCCTGGATCTCTCTCATCTCGTCTCACTACACGTGTCTCATCGCTGCCTCTGTTCTCACCACATCTGTCTCATCTGTCATCTCTAATAAAGTCTCTCTCGTCGAAAACTACTACCCTCCTCTGATGTCACGACAACGCCAACTTTTCCCGAGAACCCGTCTGTCATCCCGCAGGGGTTTTCTAAAACAAACAAAAAAACACTAAAAAGCCACGTGGGAGTCAGCGTTCGAGGCTAGGAATGTTACGAGATGAAATCCCAGTTTGGAAGGTGGACTCAGCCCATCATCGTATCTCCTGGGTAAATAAAACAATCACCACTCGTTTGATTTCTGCTCTGTAAACGGAAGACGAGCACCCCAAAGGCTCATTTTGAGCAGTGAATCGGGGTGGGAGTGGGGGGTTGCAGCGAATCGGGGCGACTGCCTCGGGCCCCGAGCTTTGGGGGGGGGGGGCACGCGTCAACGTCACAGTGTCAAATCTAATTTTTCCGGTTTAGTTTGAAGGCACCGGTGGTGGTGGTGGGGGGGGGATGCGCACAGTGGATTTTGTCCCCGTTCTCCCGAACAAAATGTCAGAATCAGAATATTTACACCGCCCTGGAGTAACCCGATGAGCTATAAAGCTCTTTTCACAGATGTCCAGTCGTCTCTTTAGACCCCCCCCCCCAATCACCACCAAGGGCAAATGGACCCCCCCCACCCATGACGAGGAAGGCGGTGTCGTCATGAGCGCTGTGACGGCGAGGAGGAGGAGGAGGTTGGTGGTTAGTGGTGGTGGTGGTGGTTCGTGTGACCCAAAATTCCGGTCTAATGGTGGCGAAACAACAGGAAGAAGCCGGCACAGCCGATAAGCCTCGCGACCAGGGCCAATCGCACCTCGGCACAACCATCCCACGTAGAGCCTCAACAGACTGTTGGGAGGGGAGGGGGTGCTGTTAGCGAGCACCTATTAAGGCCGACACGGCACACACACACAGAGGCGGCGAGGAAGGGGAGGGGGTGATGTGGCTCAAACTACGCCCGGCCACCTTTATCTCCCCATTGGTGATGTTTACACAACCCCCTGACTTGAGGGCAGTTCCATGACCGGTTCAGATTTTCGTCGAGGATGCTGGCGACTAGCGGGAATCGAACTGCACTACCGTCCTAACCACTCCACTGCCGCCCCCATACGATATATGTACAGTCATATTAACATATATATAGTACGTGTACACACACAGTATGCCGTACATTCATTACTATACACGCGTTCAGAAACAGAAACACTCGTGAAGGGGGTGCCCGTTCCCACCTAATGTAGCAGTTCCCCCCCCCTCCCTCCCCACCCCCTCGATAGACATCGCTTCCTTCCTTCTGCCAGAACCAGAAGTTGTTGCATAATCGACACTTTTAAGGTCCTCAAGCAAGCCTGCCGGGCGGCCGATGAGATGCTGAACGAATAAATGCGTCGTTAAACCCGCCACCACCCGACACAGCCAACTAGTAAGGGTTGTCACGTAAACAGAACGTGTGAATTCGTCACGAGTACAGCACACCGGTGTGATCTAACTCCCAAAAAACCCAATATTATGGATGATATTGGTCGCGAAAGCCGACGTGTAAAAATGAGATGCTGAACGTCAAAAGCAGAGTTTTTGCTTGTGTTGAACCAATGCGGCTGAAATGACGGGCTCTCAGAAGGCCGTATTGCTGATGGGATGCGTAAAAAAAACTTGTATTTTTAGTGTGGAGGAACAGGCGCGGCATGGAGGCGAGTTGTAAGCTTATTTATTCTGCCCTCATAGTATCACGCCACTAGGCGCCGCGTCTTTCCTTAGGGGCTGTCCATAAATGACGTCACGCGATTTTGGACGATTTTTGACCCGCCCCCCCCTTCGTCACAAAAAGTCAGACCCCCCCTCAAATGACGTCACAAAGCTCTGCCCCCCCCCCCCCCCCCAAAATAAAACATGCTTCAAATCGCTTTAAACTAGTCATTGTAGTGCGTATTTAATGTGGCGCTGCATTCTGTTGTAGGAGAAAACATTTCTACAGGTAGAAAACAACAGGTTCCACACTGCCCACCAGGGATTATTTGTCTGTCTGTCGTGTATATTTGTCTGTCGTGCACGAATGCGCTGTCCAACCAAGTTCCTACCTGCCCACTCCGAAGGAACGTGTTGAAAACGTCTATTTAATTAAGTAGAACGTGTTGTATATATTTATTTAAAGTTGCGCATTTTGATGTGACGTCACGTTACTTACCCCCCCCCCCCCCCCCCTCGTCACACATCGTCACAAATATCTGACCCCCCCCCCCAGGTGCGTGACGTCATTTATGGACGGCCCCTTACTCTCCTGTCACCATCGGCCATGCTCAATCCACTGCTGGATAAAGGCCTGCACAAGCCGTTGCGATCGCTCCACCCTCCCGCGGTGCATCCCAGAATCAGATTAACACGGCGGCTTTCACGACCAATAATATCATCCATAACACAAATCTGGCTGTCGCCTGATGAAGCCAGTTGTAAGTACTGGCGAAACGTCGTACTCAGTTTGTAAATGTAGTGGCTTGGCTCTCCAACCCACCGGTGTTGCTGTACCAGCAATAAATTGGCCACGTTCTGTTTAAGTGACAAACCTTACTAATTGGCCGTGTCGGGTGGTGGCGGGTTTAACGACACATTTACGGGATTATGTATCCTGGAATCGTCCCCGGTTTCTGTTCCACAACGTATACAATGTCCAAAAGGAAGGTGCAAGCGGCAATAACGGCAGGATGATCGTGACAACCGCAACAGTGGTCAGAATGCAAATATTGATGAGATAGCAATGATGGTGATGTTGGTACAGACTAGGCCAGTGATGTAGGGCTATGAATATTCATCCGATTCCATTTTTTTTTCAACATTACAGTGACTGATGCGGCCTCAAGTGGCCGCGTCATTTGCACCATTAAATCCGATATCGGTTCTGAGAACATCGTACACGAGGGACTCGGCTCAAGAATCGATATTCATCGAATCGTTATTAAACCCTTCGTGATGATTCATAAAATATCAATGTCCCGTGCAGTGTACGACGACGGTTGTAACTGTTGAAGCTGCGGATGAAAACATGGAGGTGATGGCATCAACTTCGAGAGCGACGATTGTGCAATTACTGCTGACAATGATGGCATGGTAACTGTGAAAGATAACAGAAAAAAATTCGACGATGATGATTACTTAATAACGTATGGGAACCAGAAAACGGTACATATTTCATGAGATCTGCCTCACGAGACAGGCAGGCCTCAACGCACAGCAGGGATTTAAAGTGGGAAAAATAAATCAGCCATATTTACGAATCTGAGAGAACACACCGCATTGGGATTGCATCCCGACAAGGAGCATACACCTAGCTGGGCCCAGATAAAAAGTTTAGGATGCAAATTTGTTGTGCAGATTAATGCGAAGATTTGACTTCAAGTGACAAGCGTGGCGATGCGCAATGCCGTCACGTAATTTTTTTTTTCCTCAAAACAGAAACTCGCTTGAGCATCAAACAACAGCAAACAAACCACTCTCTCAAAGCATGCGGGGACTCGCATAAACATGAAAAGGGTTTTTAATTTTCTTTTTAATGTCATTACCACAGACTCTTCATATTTTAATCCTTACCGAGTCTTTATCTCAGTCGCACCACACACATTACAGAAAGGAGCCGTGCCATTTGCGGCAAGTGCAGGTTCTAACACACATGGACGAACACGTGGCCCATTACGATTATTAGGAATTTGCAAACGTGAACAGGCTGGCTGTTTTTTTTTTTTACCAAACACCACTGGATCTAACAAACTCTTCGTAACCATCGATTAAATCTCGGTTTTGAAATGGTGAGTTATCGAAGAGCGGTAGCCGACGTGGGCCCAAATTAAGACAGCCGGCTGTAACGAAGGGATGGAGCGGTGTCGTGGCGATGTACGCACTGCACTCCGAATCCAGCGGCTAAAATCGTTTGATTCCCGGTCTTGGGCCTTTTCCCTTCGCCAACCTGCAGTGGACAACATGAAGTATGGTAAAAACCACCCCCACGACTGATAGGCATCCATTCTAAGGCAGTGCGCACTTAACAAAGTTGGCGATTTTAAATAAATATTGGGAAACCAATGCCATCCATTTGTCGTTACATTTTCGATAGTTTTTTCCGACTTTTCGCCGTTACAATTGCCTAGTAATCGTAAGTTTATCACGCCGTTCCTTTCGTCAAACCTGCATCGATTCCCTCGTCAAACACGCCCCCTAAATTTCCGAGGAAAACGAATTGGAGAAAGTAATTAATAAAAATGCTCTTGCAAACTATGAGCTACACAGGCATTCTAAAACACTCTGGCAATATCCATCACTTAGGGACATGCTGATAAAAGTATGCAGGACCCCTATCTCAGCCCCACCAGATAGATGTCACCATTCACAGCATTCAAAATTCGAGTTGTCATGATCCAGGGTCGAAATTTGAAGAACACAATTTCTTGGTTTTTTTTTAGTTTGTGCCTTCGTGGTGTGTGTAGAATCTTTTAGAAGCTGCAGAATTTTCCAAGAACAAATCGCATAGAACACACGCGAATCGTAGATGATCGACGCTTTACGCGCACCATCCAAACGGCTTAACGCCGATTCTCATCTTTACATTACGACTACAAGAGCGGCAAGTGCTGCTGGTGGCAAAAGTGTTTCTCAGCTCCCGTCGGTGGGCCAGGGTTCGTAAATTTTACACGTTTCCCCGTTTCCCAGCCCTCGCTTAGCAAGCGACGCTCATTTAGCATCGAGTGCTGCTGTTACACCTATGGGAATTGGAGCCTGCAAGAGAGAGGGCCTGCCATGAATGAGGACTGGATCTCTCGTCAACCAGCAAAACTTTCATCCTCACAGTTTTGATCAGAGAAAATAAACACCACCCACTTTCTCACTGCACCCATCCCCACCACCTCAAAAAAATATATATAACAGCAATGCTATTTTTAACAGAGAACTTTGGCGAGACAAAATGAGAGGGGGTTTCTCCTCGCTAAACAAGCGCGCACCAAGCCATCGTGCGGAGGAATAGGCAATTGTGAGGGGCCCTAACAGGGCTGCGTCAAATCGAAAGTGCGCTCTGTCGCCGACAAGGGAGACGTCGCTCCGTTTAAAATGGGTGGCGAAATGGTGGGATGTCTGGAGGCGATAATGACAGGCATCTCGTGGTAGGTGGTAGTGATGCGGATGGAGGTGGCTGACCGAGGTGCGAGTGATGGGTTTCTGGTGGAGGTCGTAGTGTCGCTGGTGGAGGAAGTGGGGGGGGGGGTGATACAGCATAACATTTCAGTGGAGGCAGTCGCCGCTCCACCAACACCGTCACGGTCCTCCGCTGTGTCCGACGCACAGAGACCCAAGCCGAGTGCAACATCCCTCAATGCAGCTACGCTCTCCTCTTCTCTCCTCCATTTTATTTCACCGCCGTTTCTCCCCCTTTGCCGTGAAATGACATCGCCAAAAAAAAAAGCCCATGTGCCACATTGCCCAGCGTCCGGCAGCAGCAGGGGATGGCGACAAATTTCACCTCAAATAAAATAGCAGGATGCGTGGGCCACCATCGGCAAGCAAACGGTAACGAACGTGCGGGCAAGCGCCATCCACGGAACTTCGCCCACGATGGTGCCGTTTCCAGCAGCGAGCAGGACTGGTGCTGCGGAGGAGGAGGAGAAAGAGGAGAGGGAGGCCGCTGTAGCACGCTTCCTCCTCCCAGGCAGGCCGCGACGTCTGTGACAATGCAGCGTCTCTTATCTCGTTTTGAGGTTCGCCCATCGCTCTCCTCGCCCCCCAGCCGCCACCGCGTTCGTCCTGGGTCGTACGCGTCGCCTTTCTCATCATCGCCCCGTCGCTGGTGTGCCACCGCCGTGCGTCGCCACGTTCCGCTTTATTTGGTTTAGTTTTTCATCTGCGTTGCGCCGTTGCCGCCACGTTGCTCCCCCCTCACTCCCCCGCCGCCACCGCCATCACCTCGGTTCGTGCCGCCTCCGTGGCTGGATTCGCGGCCCACGTGTCGTGGCTGCCGGGGCCCCCCCATCAGTCGAGCTCGATGGAGAGGCCGTCCGGCTCGGCCTCCGTACCCTCCTCGTCGCTGCCCATGAGGCTGCTGAGCAGGTTTCCTGCGTGCAACGGTGTGGGAAGACGGTCGCGTTATTCCAAGCGACTGGACGATGGCAGCGGCTTCCCAGTGACAGTCCAGGGGAATTGCTCCACTTGCACAATATAGATCCAACTCATTCTAAACTAAAATAAACTTTTTTTTATTTTACCCGGCAAGGCCCACCGAGCTATAGAGCTCTTGTTTAGAAGCGACCTGGGCCACAAATGATAGCTCAATGAGGCGGCTTGCCATGTGGAAATTTATAGCAATCAAATATTCTAAACGTATATTTCTAAATGTGGATGAAAAAAACCGGAGGAACCAGAGAAAACTGCACGCGACCATGGGAAGACCACACAAACTCCAAATATACAGGTGTCAGGGTCGGGATCAAACCCATGCCCTCTCGTATACCAGGCGAGCTAGTTAACATCACTACCACGGCGCCAAACAGTGATCTTATTCTTAGGTTTTTTCGGTAAAGTCATGTAGGTAAAAAATTAAAATTAATAAAAGTAAAAAAAAATCACGACTTTTCGGAGGCAACACAAGCTTCCATCTTCAAGCTTGTGTTGCCTCCGAAACGTCGTGATTTTTATTTTATTTTACTTTTATTATTTTTTACCTACGTGACTTTACCGAAAAAACCTAAGAATATGAATCCTTGCAGTCACGAAAGCTTAAAATCTAGAGCCAAACAGTGATTTGGAGAAAAACCACACAACACATATGGGACACACACACACGATACACATTCGACCGCAAAGTTATTTTCTGCCCCATTCAACGCCGCTGTGGAGGGCACGCGGGTGACGACGGTGCCGAGCTCACCGATCATTCCTCCGTAGGATGACGTCTGCTTGGGCGGCACTCCGAAGAACAGCTGCCCGATCCTGTCCAGGTACTGCGGTGCGAGACGAGGGGCAGGAGTCAAGGGCACGCTGCGCAAAACCAGGTGCAGGGCAATCATCGCCGCGCAACGACTGCCACACAATTTTCTACTAAATGTACGTAGGTATGTTGAACTTCTTTCGCACCGTACGTAGCCAACCGTGCGAGTCGGCGCGTGTGCCTCCCGCGCCCGTCAACGACGTTCGGGAGAGGTTTATTTCGGGAGCTGTGCTTTTTTTTATTGTTTACGCCTACGACCAAAACGGCCGGAATGCACCCGATCTTGTCAGATCTCAGACTCTAAATAAGGAGGATTTGAGCCTGATTAATACTTCTATGGGAAACCACCATGACTAATGGTAGCAGTAGATGGCTGCGGTGCTATAGTGTGGGCAGCAGAGGGCAGTGTGGTATAATCTGTTGCCGAACGTGGATGTGTGGCAATGCGCTGACCAGCATGGTGATGCTTGGTAAAACAAATCCCACAACATGCACAGTGTGGGGAGGCCCTCATCCAGCAGTGGATTGATAATGGGGCAGCACACGTACAAGAAACAACCTGTAAAAATCTGATTTCTGTAGTGGGCGTCTGAGAAGGCTGAGAACCAATCGTCTGAGAACCAATCAAATCAGACAGCCGTCACATGACTACCGAAGGTTGTGGCCTTTGCACACATCTCTTCAGTTTTAAACAAAATTTTGTCTTCATTGGTCAAACACAACCGCGTCATTGTGTGTGATGGGGTTTTTTATGCAGACACCGGATAAAGAGCTGAGACCATCAAATCAATCAAACTTGAGAACTCGGATGGATGAATCCTTTTTTTGATCCCGGGATCTCAGCAGTGGCAGCTTGGTGCTCTGACCCCTGACCCAACCCAGCCACCACATGGAACAAATTTTAATCAACGAATCGCTGCATTCCGAGCGCCGACATCCCGACGGCTAACAACGGTGCAGATCGCCGAGACGACGCGTCGCAGCCGTTTTCACCGTCGAGCGAACCTGGCCCCAGACGGGAAAGTAGCCTCACCTCCAAGTAGACGGGATCTCTCTTGATGGACATCTGGTAGACTTCACAGAGCACCGTGAACACGGTCAGCTTTCCCCTGCTCGCGCACAGCGCGCACATTTGCGATTAGCGAGTCGGCGCGTCACGAGGATGCGTGAATGTGCGAGGCGCGGGGGTTTCACGACGCGACGGCCACGGGACAACCCCTGGCGCGCCACACTCACCCCTCGATGGCGAGCAGCAGGAACCAGATGAAGTTGAGGAGCGGCAGGGAGAAGGGCGGCCCTCCGTCGATGAGGGGGTGCTTCTGCGTGTACGTCACGAACACGATCGTGGCCGTGCTCTTGTCCTTCAAGCACAGGAACCTGCGGGGCGACACGACATCGCACGCGGCGTATCGGTTTCCTCATTCCTTTAGAACTGCTTGTGTTTTAGTTTTGTGTCCTTCCCCCGCACCTCCGATTAGTGCGGCTGGCTGCGTACGGTGCGAAAGAAGTTTAACGTACATACGTACGTGTGCGCAAGTGCTCGACTTTGAGTGAGTGGAAGCGAGCGAGCAAATTATTGAGTGTATGGATAAGTGAGCGAGCGATTCAGTGAGTGAGTTTTTTTATTAAGTGAATAAACGGGTGACTGAAAAAGTTAAGTTACTCCGCGAGTGACTGAGTGAACAAAATATTGCGTAAAAGAATGAACGAGTAGATGAGAGTGTTTTGAGTAAACGAGCGAGTGGCCGAGCTTGCAAACGTACGCGTGAGCAAGTAAACCTACGAGTAAATTCGAGTGAACGAGTAAGTGTGCAAGAAAATCAACAAGCAAGTGAGTGAGCGACTGAGTAAGCGAGCGACGACTCACTGTAGCACGGCCTGCGCCACAAAGAGGTCGGCCTCGCCGGGGAAGGATTGCGTCGTCGCGTGCTCCACCAGCATGAGCGCACAGCTCTCCCCGTCCGACGCGTGCAGGAAGTGGTAGCGCGACTCGCCGTAGTTCTGCTCTGCACACGGCGTTCGTCGCACACCAACGACGCTTCGAGTGTTAACACGACCACCCGCGTCACTGCCACTTGAACCAGGTACCCCCGCTCACACACATCACTACCACCTCGATCACCACCCACAATCACTATCACCTCAAATGGCCAACCCGATCACGCACATCACTACCAGCTCAACCAGCCACCGCAATCACCACCCACGTTACTGCCACTTCAACCAGGATGTGAAACCTTCCAAAGCTGCTAGTTACCCAGTGAACCCTTTGGGATTATATTGATCGTACGCAATGAGCTCTGAGCTGTCACCGCTGCCTCACTCACCAGCCTCCCCCCCAACTCCACAACTCTATCTCACAACCTCGGAACTCACCACCATCACCACACCTCACCACCTCATCGAGATCAGCGCCGTCCCAACTCACCACCCCATCAACTCACCCATATTTCACTCACTCCCTCCCTCCCCAATCGCTACCCTCTCAACGCACGCACCACGCTCCCCACTCATCACTTCTTCCCCCACACCACAACCTCCTCACTCACCACCTCCTCAACCAACTAATTTACAATTCACAACCTCCACAATCGCCACCTTCCCCCGCACCTCCGATTAGCACGGTTGGCTACGTACGGTGCGAAAGAAGCTCCAACATACATACGTACACCATTTCCCCCCGCCTTGGCCAAACCACAACCTCCGCACTCATCACCGCCTCCCTCACCACACGCCCTGGCTCGCCCGCCGACCCTCGCTGCTCACCTTTCCACAGGGTGAGCGCCAGTAGGCGGTGGAGCTCGGGGTGCCCGCGCCGCGCTGTGCCGTCGCGTGACCACTTGACCGCGCGCGCCGCGAAGTTGGTCCGCTCGGGGGAGTTGGGGTCCATGAGCGAGAAGAGGCGCGACAGCCGCTCTGACAGTGCAGCGCCAAGACACCGTCAACAACAACTAAGCGTGTAATCGTCACCGTAGTTATCCAGAAAGCAAGATGCGCTCTTTTTTTACACGCTTTCTAAACTCACTCTGTCTGTTTTTGTTGCTGCATCCCCAAATCTTGTAACTCAATTTTAACCCCACTTCCCAATGTGGTATAGACTGCAAACTTGGTATACTTATGGTCATACTGATGACAATACTAAATTCTATCAGAAAAAATAAAAAAAATATTTTATAACAATCTTTTTTATATGTTTCGGCTTGAGTCTAATTGTCCACGCTCAACTGACGTTGGCTGTAAATCACCACGGTCCCTTACATTATGGCAAGCTTCGGGGCCACTTCCTGGAGTCGTGGAGTTCTTCCATTACTAGTAGGGTACATTTCATTAAAGCGTGTTTAAAAAAAACAAAATGTATATCACTTATTTCCCCTCAAAATGTTTCGAAGCAAAAGTTGGCGGTGCACTTTACAATCCGATAGGTGGCCTGAAACATGGTGTCTAGATACTCAAGATACAACTGTCATTGTGATCAGCGTCCAATCTATACGCCTTTCAAACAGTGCACTGTTACGCCTATCTGCCACTCGTCCTACGCTCTCCACTTGGTCTACAAACCCCTCGGCCCACACGCCACGAGGTCTACGTGCCGCTCGACCTTCCTTCCTGCCACTTGGCCTATGTACCATGCAACGTGTATACCACACGCGAGCTGGGCGAAGTGTCATTGAGCCTGGCTGACTGCGGTGGAGCCGGGTGGCGTACGCACCGAGCAGCTCCTCGGTGACCGTAGCGGAGGATTTCTCCAGCGACTCGAGCACCAGCATGGAGAGGTCCGCAGCGCTGTTTTGCTGCGGCGGCGGCAGAGACACGGCAAGAAGCGTCACACACACACAACAGTAGCAGCAGGGGAGTGCCACACGGCGTCACGCGTAGTCTTCTCCTTTCGTACGGCTGATGTAGATGCAGAGCAACAACTTACAATTTCACATTCAGGTGGTCAAGGCCAGATAACCGCATCGGGAGCGGCGGAGTGGTGCATCGCTGCGATGTCGCCTTCGTATTTTTGGACGGGCACTGCGTCGTCATACGTTGTACGGTCTGTTCCGGAGATTTTTATTTATTTTTGTTCCATTTGTTTGCACACGGGAGGGGAGCGTCACAGTCTCACACACAGCCGGCGAGCTTCACACACAGCTGCCGAGTATCACAGCGTCACACAGCAGGCGGGCGTCACGCACAGCAGAGGTCGCAAATGGGTTTTGATTCCTTACCCGCATCCGTACCCGGCCGCACCAGGGTCGCAAATGGGTACCCGTACCCGGCCGGGTACGGGTACCCATAAAACGTACCCGTTCCCTACCCGTACCCGTACCCTACCCGAAATGAGTGACAAACGGTTACTCACCAGTGACTCACGGCCTACCCGTACCCGGCCGCACCAGGGTCGCAAACGGCTACCGGTACCCAGCCGGGTACGGGTAGCCGGGTATCGGGTAGGGTACGGGTATCGGGTACCGGGTACCCGGTTGCGACCTCTGACGCACAGCGTCATGCAGAAGAGAATTGTAGTCAAGTCACGATTCACAATCCCCCTGCGGTTTAATAATTTCAACAATTCAGAGTCTCGATTCAACCCAAGGGTCACACTTCTTTCTTTATCTCGTTTGTGGCATCTTGTTATGTTGTCCCATTTTGCCCGTTTCGTGTGTTTTGGTCTTGTTAAATGTTGACGAATTAGCCCACATTTAAAATGTGTACACAATGTGTATAATCAGTTAAGAGGGTGAGGGAGAGCGGTTTGGCAGAGCTGCTTGGTGCAGCGGTTTGAAGGGGGTGAGAATTTGGTGGAGCGGTTCCAAGGGAGCGATTCGGTGGAGCAGTTTGGTGGAGCCGTTTTGTGGAGTGGTGTAGGGGAGGAGATTATGGGAACCATTTAGGGGAGCGGTTGGTGAAACTGTTTGTGGAAAACGGTTTGGGAGGAGCGGTTTGGTCGTGTCTAACCTCCCACGCACATGTTGACCGCTAACATTTCCAAATGCTCACACATCAAAACCGCGAAACTCCATCGTTATCATCATGACCATCATCGCGAGCTGGGGCAGCGAGCCTCACCTGGTTGTGTTTGAAGAAGAGCAGAGCCCCGGAGAACATGAGCTCCACCACCTCGCTGTGACGATTCTGCGTCGTGTACCTGTGGCATGGGTGGAGGAAAGGTCGGGGGGGGGGGGGCAAAGAAGAGCACAATGGCAAGATGTTAACTCCTTCGCCAGGTATACAGGAGGTCGTGGGTTTGAGCTCAACTCTGACGGCTGTATATTTGAAGTTTGCATGTTCTCCCCGTGGTCGTGTAGATTTTTCTCAGGGTCGTCCGGTTTTTTCCTCCACATTTAGAAAAACATGCGTTTGGAGTTTATTTGACTGCTATCAATTTCCACATTATGAGCCACTACGTTGAGCGATCATTTGCGGCCTGGTCGCTTCTGAAAAAGAGCTATGCAGCACATTATTTATTGTAAAGTAACAATTATTGTAATATGTATTCATGGTTTATGATGAGTAAACTGCAGTTGAACTTTTGAGTCATCTTTACTCATACTGGAAGTACAAAAAATCTGAAACATTTTACGATAAAAATCCAATGCCAAAGTTATAAGGGAAAGTGATATCACTAAATCATATTCTATGGATTATAATACGCTCCAGAAAATAGACGGACCTCCAACTTGTTCCGTTTGTCAATAAAGTTATATAAATCTAGTCAATAAAGTTATATCACTGTATAGATATACTCCGGATTAAGATAAATTCCCAACTTTTCTTTATAATAATTGGGAAAAGCGTGTTTTATAATCCACCGAAACGGTAAGTGTCATATTGTAAAAAATTAACCCGTAAAAACAAAGTTTTTTACTGTAAATCCTTTATATGCGTGGCGGCTAGAGTCCTCTCGTCCTCTGGCTTGAGATGGCTGCCACCTATGGGTCAGATGATTGTCTGCCAGCATTAAGCAATTGGTAATTAAATATTTTAAAAAAATTCCCCAACAGTGTAAAATTTAGGACATTTTTTCACGAAAATTAATTGTCACGCACAACGAGTCTGTGTGGAAAACGTCAGCTCGATTGGATCACGGGAAGTGGGTTAAAAACGACCAAAAGATTTGCACGGTCGTAAGCAAGCAAGCAAGCACGCAAGCAAGCAAGCAAGCGAACTTAATATAAAGGATTTAAAAATTGTATATCGTATACTTCCGTGAACATCATTTCGTGGCAACCCTACTGCCGCACCACGTGCATTACAGACAGACATATAGACAGCGCCAAGGTGGTCTAAGCAGCGATGACACAAGCCATGGACTGCTCAATGTTAGTGTGAGAGTGACCAGCTCAAATTACATCAACAAAACCCCACGTACGGCTTGCCACGCACGCACTCACTCAACACAAACATCAGCCGAACAACGGGTAAACCGCACACACTGGGTCACAGAGTGTGCAAGCGGCCAAGGTGTACGTCATAAATAATTCACGGTAATCACAGTACCTGTTTTGTCAGTGTTAAAGAGGTTGCTGCCTGTATCGAATGCACTGACAAAGAGAATGGAATAGCTGAAACATCGGGAAAGATAGCTGCATGCTTGGAATTACACCGAGAGACAGAAAGCTAGGAAGAGGAGGCCAAGGATCAGGAAAATTAGAGACATCGTATTGGCTGGGCTTGAGCAGGACATGCCGTTAGAAAAGAGATTGACCGACAAATGAGACTGGTGACGGAACGACAGCCAAATGACAGAACGTGCCTAAAAGTATGCTCTCCGCAGAGATGGAGCGAACGAATCAAATCTTGTCGAGAAGCAGTTGATTGTGGCAGTGCAAGAGGGTGGGAATGCCTTCCTCTGACAGTGAATTGATCAAGGCTGATGATGATGGGCAAATAAAGGTCATAAACACGGCCTACATTAGCAGTAGTTACAGCCTAATTCTGGTGAATATGCTCACAAATGTGCAATTGTGCGCGCAGCAGCAGAGGGCGGCAGGGTGACGTGGTGATAGCCACTCGTGCCTCACAGCAAGACGGTGTTCGGGGTTCGATTACCAACTCGGACGCCATCCTGTTAGAAGTTTGTATGTTCTCCCCCATAGCTAAACAAATACATGTCACTGGTACTGCCGAAATTCTGTATCCAAATGATGAAAATGTAACTGTAAGTTACTTAACAAAACTTAAAATAACATCGCCCTCGACTGCAAAAACTTCACAGGACCCTTATGAAACGAGTAAGTGTTTGAGACTCTGCGAGACTTTTTTTGGGTAAATAAGTGTAATAAAAACGATATAACTGAAGAGCCAAGGACCGTGTGCGTGTGTGTCCTATGTTCAGGCTTTTAAACCTTCACATGGCGTTTGCTGCAATCTGATTAACCCTATCCCAGGTCTCCCTTGCATAAAAAACACAGCGGTGGATCGACCAACCCCCCTGTTGAGGTATTTTCACAGTCAATCAAAATGATAAATAACTACTTTGCCATTTGCGCCATTCTTATTGCGCCAAGGCTATCATAAAGGGCGCGACGTTTCACAGACATAGTCTGTTCGTGATATTGCAGCAGGAGGCGGTATTGCTGCGTTTTCCATTTGAGTAACGCACAAGGTACGTTTCTAAAATTGGACCGCCTTGCCGGCATGCGGCTTTTACCGTCCGCTGTGAACTAAACGGCGCGGTTCATGGTTAATATACCTCAAGTATTAATTAGGGCGGCCGCGAGACTCGAACCACGAGCCTCTGCAACAAGCGGAAAACGCATGAACGCTCGTTCCGTCCCCCAAACCTCCACCCCAGTGACTTCGAATTCGCGTGGAGCAATCCAGAACAAAGCAAGCCCAGGGGTAAAGAGCGGCACGATAAGAGCTGTTTATTTATTTAGGTTCTGTCCGACTCTATAGAGAGACGCCGTGCCATGGCAAATAAACGACGTAACAAGTTGAGACGTGCAGCAGTGAGGACTGGGAATATGAATTGCAAATGTTTAAAAAAATCAAACTCCTACTACACGAGGCGATTCGATTAACTAATGATTTAGGGTCGCGACACGAATAAATATATGATAATTTTTCCTTTACCTTCTCGTTTGTAAGCTCCTCTCTCAAATGTGTCGGCTCGTTTGTATTGTCGGTCACGTATGTCTTTGTCTCGTTGACATTACGATTCGAGACCGTCTATTCTGTTAAAGGTTTGTATGTCCGCTTTCGTTTTGATTGCGTGTTTCACACGTCGTTGATAACGTATCCGCGTGTACGGTCTGTCTCGTTTATTCTGTTCCGTTTGCACTGCGGGTCGTCGGATCTACACGTGTGCTGCGTTTGTACTTTTTGATGCACACCGTATCGATTGTACCGTCTCGTGTGTACGAGTACGCCTGGCGCGTCTGTAATATGTGCGAATGAAGGTTTGTTCCATCCCACCGATTTGGTTCGTTTCCATCTCAATTCTAATCTCATCGTCTCGCCTCTGCAGTCTCGGTGCCTAACACCCGCAATCAAAGCCACGCCCGGACAGGTCAAGAGCGGACTTTAACAATCACACCGAAAGAACCAAGAATATGAATCCCTGCAGTCACGAAAGCTTTAAATCAGAATCACACTACACTCAAAACAAAAGCGCTCGCGCGCTCTGCGAGCCAGTTGATACATCTTCTTGGTTCTTTCGGTAAAGTCACGTAGAAGGTTGATAGAAAGTTGATACAATTCACCTATTATAGCACCTAGGGAATGTCCCGTGACCTGCCAAGCGAGCCTGCGACACTTTATTACGTGTCATCAATACGCACGCACCTAGCCTGGCACACGAGCTGTGGCGACGTGCCCGTCAACTTCTTGGCGAACTGCGGCGGTTCTTGCTCGGCAGATGGGTGAGGAAGTGGAATGAACGGGGGCGGATGGGTTCAATCCCTGCGGGCCCAGTGACCGCATCCCCCCGCAGACAATCCAGGCCAACGCAGGCTCCGACTCGGGCCTAGCACCAACCCCCCCGGCGCCGCTGGGTGGGCTGAGGGAGAACTGACCGGTGGAAGAGCGTGCGGTACATCTGGTGCGCCTCGTAGTAGTCTCCGCGCTCCACGCTGGCGCGAAGTTTCCCCTCCACGCGCTGAACGCCGCCCCGAGCCGACGCAGCAGCGGCGGCGGCGGCGGCGGCGCTGCCGGCCGCGTTGCTACCTTCACCCTCCGTCTTCTCCGCCATCGTCCCGAGAATGGACGAGAATCGATTCCGTGTAGTTAACGATTAGCCGTGTGTCGATTCCGTCGTTGGATCAGGGCCGCGGGAATCGAGTTGCGATTTGTAGATGTCGAATCGACGCGCGGATTTCGCCGTTGTGCTAGAGTGGAGGGGGTTCGATTCTGGTTGAGATGTCGATTTAGGGATCTATCGATGTCGAAATTGCATTTGGGCTAACGAGAATCGATTTGGGTAATTTAGTGTCCTTAGCGATACCTCGATTCCTGTGGGAATGTATTGTTAGCGATTCCTCAAGATTGGTGCCATTGGATGAGATCGATTCATAGGAATATTATGGGCCGTGGTCGATTTAACGATTAGACGGGAAGGATCGATTAGTCGAGTTTGTTTAGCGAATGTCAATAAATGGATGTCTTGATTCAATAATGCTTTATTGAATCGATGAATTATAGAAATCCGGAGTTAATTTTCTTACAATTTCGATATTTGATATTTAACGGTTCGCTACTCTAGTTATCGATTCCTCGATATTATCTAGACTTTAATTGATTCGGGAGGCGATCATTTCGGAGCAGTGGCACAGCAACGATTCATGATTCTCTAGTCCTACGAAACTTGCCATTTCAGAATCTGAATATTTAATCTACACCGGATGAATCCGATGACCTACAAAGCGATTTTTCTTCACAGATGTGAATGACTGACCAAGCTAAAACCTGGCATGGCAAATTCGAACAAATATCTTTTGTGTGTGTAGCCAAATGAAGATTCATAATTGATTTTTGGGCCGATAGGGCTTAGAAACCATCAACTCTCCACTGCGCCTGAGAAGTCGGTTCAATCAGAACTCAGTCGATGTGGATATTATTTTGTATTTTTTGAAATAATTCGCCTGAACTGAAGGCGCTTCTAAAAAGCGATAACCAAAAACAAGATAGTGATTAATATGGTAGGGTTCGTGCAATTGGCAAGGGATGATCGTGGTCCCGTTTAGCCAGTTGCCCGGATATTTAAGACGTGAGCACAACAAAAGCAACAAAGATTTTAAAAACCCATAAATATTGCAGCAAAATCGAGTACAGCAGGACCCTTAAGGAATATTGCACAACTAACAAACGGACGTTAACGAAACACACCAGAAAAAGTTAGGTAACAGATGCACGTAAACTCAATTTTAGTCGAACATGTGGACGCCACGGTGGCTAGGAGATGTTCACTACCTCGCCTGGTATACAGGAGGTCGTGGGTTCGATTCAGACCCTGACGCCTGCTGTATATTTGGAGTTTGCGTGTCTCTCATCATCATCACGGTGGCTAGGAGATGTTAACTACCTCGCCTGGTATACAGGAGGTCGTGAGTTCGATCCAGACCCTGACGCCAAGCTGTATGTTTGGAGTTTTCGTGTCTCTTTCTCCCCGTGGCCGCGTGGATTTTTCTCCGGGTCCTCCGGTTTTTCCTTCCACATTTAGAATCAACGTCACCGCGCGTTTAGAGTACTTGACTGCAGTAAATATTCCACTTGATAAGCCGCTTCGTTGGGCTGTCATTTGTGATATAGCCAGGTCGCTTAAGGGCCGTCCATAAATGACGTCACGCACCTAGGGGGTGTGGTCAGACATTTGGGACGATGTGTGAAGAGGGGGGGGGGGGGGTGAGAAATGTGACGTCACATCTAAATGCGCAACTTTAAATAAATATAGACAACACATTCTACTTAATTAAATAGACGTTTTAATAAATGTTTTCTCCTACAACATCAGAGTGCAGCGCCACATTAAATACGCACTACAATGACAAAAGTTGAAAGCGATTTGAAGCATGTTTTATTTTGGGGGGGGGGGGCAGAGCTTTGTGACGTCATATTTGAGGGGGGGTCTGACTTTTTGTGACGCCGTGTGACGAAGGGGAAGGGGGGGGTCAAAAATCGCGTGACGTCATTTATGGACGGTCCCGAACGGGGTCTTAATGCAGTTGCAAAATCGGAACCACAGAGTGCACGGGTGAGCACGGACCAGCAGGTGGCGGACTTAGCTCAGCTCGGAGTCTCTCTCTCTCTCGACTCACTCTCGTCCGTCGGTCTGTGCATCATCTGCGTGGAGCGTGGGCGAAGGGGGGCGAGCGAGGGTGTGGCTGGGAAAACAGTGAGGAGCGAGAGGGGGAAAGAATGAAAGGCATTGGAGTGGGGAGGGGGACCAGCAAAAGTGATTTCCCCCACCTCTCTCTCTCTCTCCCTCATCTCCCCGCCATCTCCCACTTTCCTGCCGCGGGGCAGACAAGGATGCCAGGTTTTGGTTCACTGTATTCAAAGTTAAGCAGTACCACTACACCACCACCCTCCTCCTCCTCCCCAGCTCCCAGACGCAAAACTAAAACATATTTAAATAAATAAGCCTTCCAACCGCACCCCTCCCTCTACTGCAGAGGCAACACGCGGTGCCACGTGGATCACGAGGATGATGGAATTTGGGAATTTCCAAAGCTCCCATCACCCCAACCCACTTATCACCCCCATCACCCTGCACCCAACATATACCCACCACGCTAACCCCACCTATCACTCCCCGCACCACCACTTCCCCACCCATCACCCCAAACAAACCAACCAAACCACCACCAAACCCCACCCCCATCACAAACAACACACATAAATATGACCCACGCTGTCCCAGACCCCCCCTCCTCCCTCGGGGGAATCATAACCACAACTCACGCACTACTACCACCACCACCAAACACCATGGCTCTCAGCAGCCACCCACGCCCACCCTTCTTGGAATTCGGCAGGAAAAGGTGACGCAAGGAAGAGAGACAGACAGGAACACGAGGCGCGACCGGGGAAACTTATTGAGTATTGCTCCGTCCTTGCTGTTGATGGAGGACTTTGGGTGAACGGCCCCCTCCTCTGTGGTTGTAGTCGTCTATCGAGTGATCGCACGGCTATTAAAACCTCGAGCGAAGTCCCCTTGCAGCTAGCTGCTTGCAGTGGCGGTTCGGTCTCGAGAAAATAGCCTCGTTGTGGTCATAAGATCCACACAAGGCTCGCGTTGGGATTGTTTGGGAAACTATATTTTTGGTTTTGTTTATAAAGTTAGACGGAGACCGCGTGGATTAAGAGAAGGCTGAATCTGGGGAATTTCTACGACACTGGCTCAGCACATAATACACCCATCGCACGATCCATCACAACCACCACCATCATCATCATCAAAACCCATCGCTCACACCATCACAAACAACAACCGCCATTCGCCACGAAGTGCCTGAGACGTCACCAGGCTGTGTGCACGTTGAGGCCACGTGAAGTGTCGAAACAACAACCACAACAACAACAACAACCCAATTGCACACTCATCAATACAACCCGACCATCCCCTTCCCGCCTCCAATCCACACCCAACAATCAACGACATCAAAACGCCGGGTGCGTTGGGCATCCCATCGTGCCGCCCTTGCTACTGCCGACTTGCCTCCTCGTAACCAACCCCGGTACGTGACCACGACTTGTTGAAAATACATTCGTACGAATTAGTATCTTGCTATTTGGAGTGGGTATTATTCGGGATAATTCTGCCCGACTCGATCGCGTTGATGTGCGTTGACATCGGCTCGCTGACTCACTCACCCCATACGGCAAATATATTTACCTGCACTTATATTTTAAAGCGTTGTTTTAATTAACAAATAAAAATCTGTTAAAATAGTACTTCCACTGCTCAGTGTTGTACTTTATACGTTTTAATATTGGCGTATTGATCATGCAGATGTCACGGGGTATTTTTTAAACTCACAATACTGTATATTTCTCTCGTTTCAAAAGTTTAATTTGAACTGCGCACCCGTAAACACCGTGCGTGTGTGAGAGCGTTTGTTTAGCCTTTGTTTATCGTGTAAATAAAGGATACATATTGTTCGGTTTAGGATCTGGTTTGTGCCAAGTTGGCTGCCGAGTGTGAATCTAAACACAGTAACTCCAGCACACACAGCGAGCCTGCCCCTTCCTACACCTCCCTCCCTACCTTCTCCCTCAACTCCCTGCTACATGCAGCCCCCTCTCTCGACACACCCGCCTCTCCTCTGCCCACACCCATCCACCCCTCTCTCCAACACACGCTCTGCGATCTTCCTGAACTCTCATCTCTGCCCACACCCATCCACCCTCTCTCCAACACACACTCTCAGATCTTCCTGAACTCTCATCCCTGTCCACACCCATCCACCCCTCTCTCCAACACACGCTCTGCGATCTTCCTCCAACTCTCATCCCTGTCCACACCCATCCACCCCTCTCTCCAACACACGCTCTCCGATCTTCCTCCAACTCTCCTCTCTGTCCACACCCATCCACCCCTCTCTCCAACACACGCTCTCCGATCTTCCTCCAACTCTCCTGTCTGTCCACACCCATCCACCCCTCTCTCCAATACACACTCTCCGATCTTCCTCCAACTCTCCTCTCTGTCCACACCCATCCACCCCTCTCTCCAACACACACTCTCAGATCTTCCTGCAACTCTCATCCCTGTCCACACCCATCCACCCCTCTCTCCAACGCACGCTCTGCGATCTTCCTCCAACTCTCATCCCTGTCCACACCCATCCACCCCTCTCTCCAACACACGCTCTCCGATCTTCCTCCAACTCTCCTCTCTGTCCACACCCATCCACCCTCTCTCCAACACACACTCTCAGATCTTCCTGCAACTCTCATCCCTGTCCACACCCATCCACCCCTCTCTCCAACGCACGCTCTGCGATCTTCCTGAACCCTCATCTCTGCCCACACCCATCCACCCTCTCTCCAACACACGCTCTCAGATCTTCTTGCAACTCTCCTCTCTGCCCACACCCATCCACCCTCTCTCCAACACACGCTCTCAGATCTTCCCGAAACTCTCCTCTCTGCCCACACCCATCCACCCCTCTCTCCAACACACGCTCTCCGATCTTCCTACATCTCTCCTCTCTGCCCACACCAATCCACCCCTCTCTCCAACACACGCTCTCCCATCTTCCTGCAACTCTCATATCGCTCCTCTCTGCCACAACGCTCTTTCTTCCATTTCCCGCAACCGCTCTCCCCACAGACCTCTTCCCCCTCTTTAAATTACCACATCGCGCTCTCTCTCTTCTCCCCCACGCGTCTCCCCCCCCCCCATACCGTCTCCCACGCGTCTCCCCCATACCCTCCTCTCCTCCATCATCTCTCCCACGCCTCTCCCCCATACCCTCCTCTCCTCCATCATCTCTCCCACTCCCTCCCCTCCGCGAGACGTCGGTAAGGAAGTGACGCCGGCCTCGTCTCAGGTGTGGGGGAGGCGGAGCGCCAGGTGCGCGTAGCTAACCCCTCCCTGCTCCCTGCTCCCTCCCACGCCCCCTGCTCCCTCACCCCCCCACATCTGGACAAAGACCCACAAACAGCCTAGTCTCATCACAACCGCGCCAACACGCGTCTCTCAGTCCTCGTCTCTCGCCCACGCTCCTCGCTAATCCCCTGGGTCGCGCCTCTGTCTTTCTCGCCGAGCCGCGGTCGTTGAGTCGTGGTGGAGTCCACTTCGATCCCAACACTCGTGTGTACCTTGCCCACTCCCCCCCCCCCCACCACGCCGCCTCTCCACTCGTCCTCTGTCCATCCCGGGGTCGCCCTCGGGGTCAACCTCCCCTCCTCAGGGTCACCCCCACCACTCCACGCAGAGGACATCGGCCCGCGATGAGAGAACGATGGCCACGGCGCAAGGCGGAATCGACTCGGGCCGTCGCATCGGCCGCTGCGCGACGTCCTTCTGGCTCGCGATCGCCTTCGACGCGGTCGGAGTGGCCGTGCTGCTCGTGGGCATTTTCAGCGACGTGGAGTTCTACGACCTCCTCATCTACTGCGGGGCCATCCTCATCTTCCTGAGCCTCGTCTGGTGGATCTTCTGGTACACGGGCAACATCGAGGTGCCCATGGAGGAGTTGATGCGCGGTGGGGAGAGCGAACGCGGCGGTCGCGGAGGAGGTGGCGGCGGTGTCGGTGGCAAGGGCACGGGACCCGCGCGCCGAGTCGCGAGTCTCGTGCGAAGCGTGTCGAGCATCCTGCAGGGTCGGAGGTCCTTCACGAACACTCCGAGAAGGTCGCAGCAGCAGCAGCGCCAGCAGCAGCAGCAGAATCAACAGCAGCAACAGCAGCAGCAGATTGACTTGAACGGACTTCAGTACAAGAGCTCGCTTATAGCGTCTTCGGAGATGCACCACAACCACCACCGCCACGAGCAGCAGCAGCAGCACCGTCTCCCGATAGAGCCTCTGCCTGGTGAGTCGTCTTCGTCGGGACGATCCGTCCCCTCGTCGCCTCCTCTCCCCACGTCGCCTCCTCTCTTCTCGTCGCCCTCGGACGGGCGCTGCGCCTCGCTCCGCGCGGAGCTCGAGGAACGGGGCTCGAAGCCGGCGGCGAGCGGACACGGCGGTGGTGGTGACCTGCAGGGATGGGACGCGAACGGGAAGTGGCCCGAGGTTTGCTTCATCTCGCTGGTCGGGCTGCCTTCGGAGAGCACGAGGCTATGAACGAGGTTGGCTTCTCCAGCCCTCCTCCTCCTGTGCGGGTAAGACGCACGCATCGCACCTTGCTTCTCTCAACTCACCGTTGACTCTTTCTTGTTTGTTAGCGTCCAACAAGGAGCCGATTTGGGGAAGACCGCTCCGGAAAGTTGGGACACTCGCCCCAAAACGGCGATGTCTTCTCCCCCCCCTCTCCGCTCTCACCCCTCCCCCCCGCTCACCCCCCCCCCCCCCGCTCATCCCCCCCCCCCCCGCTCACCCCCCCCCCGCTCACCCCCCCCCCCCGCTCACCCCCCCCCGCCCCCCCCCCCCGCTCACCCCCCTCGCTCACCTCCCCCCCGCTCACCCCCTCCCCGGTCACCCCCCTCCCGCTCACCCCCCCCCCCTCCAACAAATCGCACGCGCGAGCAACGATAAAAAAATATATCCCGCCGGATTATAAAGACGCAACTCACAACGTTTGATTTAAAATAAGGTGTGCGGGTGTGTGTGTGCGTATTGTAATTGTGGGGAGCGGTGGTGTAGCGGTTAGCGCTACGCTGCGCTACGAACCCGGCGATCCGAGTTCGATTCCCGCTCACGGCCAACATCTATTGACGATTATCTGAACCGGGTCCTGGGCCTCCCCTAAGTCGACTCGGCCTCAAATGAGTACCCGGTGCGGCGTGTAAACATCGCCAAGTGAGAGACAAAGGCGGTCGGGCGTGGTGCTGGCAACCCACCCCCTCGTGTACCGTGCCGGCCTTCATAGGTGCTCGCTAACAGAACTTGCCCCTACAGTCTGTTACAGGCTATACGGGGGATCTTTGTATTGTAATACGAATATTATGACATCGATTATAATGTTTGTATGTTAGTTAAACACGTAGGTTTTCGCGACCGATAACCATAACACTATTTAGTACGTATTTACGCGATCTAATCCACGCGATCTAACCGACAAACGCCTATGGATGTTTCTATGTTGTTGTATGGTAAGATATGTAGGGAGAGGCGGGTTCGTATAGCCAACATCGATGACGATTATCTGAACCGGGTCCTGGGCCTCCCCTAGGTCGACTCAGCCTCAAATGAGTACCTGGTTCGGAGTGTAAACATCGCCAATCGGGCAGTTGGCAACCCACCCCCTCGTGTACCGTGCCGGCCTTTATAGGTGCTCGCTAACAGCACTTGCCCCTACAGTCTGTTTAGGCTATACGGGGGTTCTTTGTGTGGTAGTAGCTAATGTCTTTTGCGAAACTCCCGGGCAGTCACTGGAGACCGCTACGTTCACCACAATGTTTTATTTTAGAAGAGAGAGAAGAAAAAAACACTATTATTGTTACACCCCTTTCAATCGCCTCGCCCCATGTTGGAAACCCAGTGACTCAATGTTCATGAATCTATGAATGGTATCGTTGTGATTGATGGTCACGTTCGATTTTATTTTTTTCACCAGATAAGTCCCCACTGAGCTGTTATAGTTCTATTTTCAGAAGCTACCTAGCCACACATGACATAATTTCGATTTAAAGCTTTCGTGACTGCAGGGATTCGTCTTCTTGGTTCTTTCGGTAAAGTCACATAGAAGGGAAGTAATAAAATAATAAAAATAAAACATAATAAAATAATTCTCACGACGTTTCGGCCAGAACGCAAGCAGCCGTCTTCAGGTGAAGAACAGGTCTGTCGAGAAGACAGTCTGAATTACCTGTTCTTCACCTGAGGACGGCTGCTTGCGTTGTGGCCGAAACGTCGTGAGAATTATTTTATTATGTTTAATTTTTATTATTTTATTATTTCCATTCTACGTGACTTTACCGAAAGAACCAAGAAGATGAGCTGTTATAGTTCTATTTTCAGAAGCGACCTAGCCACACATGACAGCTCAACGAAGTGGCTTATCATCATGTGGAAATGTATAGCAGCCAAATACTCGAAACGCGTGTTTCTAAATGTGGGGGGGGGGGGGGGAACGAAGAACCCGGAGAAAAATCCACACGACCACGAGGAGAGAGACACGCAAACTCTAAAAATACAGGCGTCGGGATCGAACCCACGGCCCTCCTGTATACCTGGCGAGGTAGTTAACATCTCCTAGCCACCGTGGCGGCAATTATTTACTCGGATGAGACTACGGCGTGTCTCGAAACTCGCGCTGTTGCCCCCTATCCGCTAGCAGTGCTGAGCCAGCCGTATCCTGCCCATTCCACGATGCTATGGCGAGAGCCGGGTCGAACCTCGTCAAACGAGGGTTGAGGATGCGGCCCACGCGAAAACTCTCAATACCGACTCGTAACAATGCCGCTGGAATGGTCTGAGCGAATTACTTTCATGAGCGGGGTCGAATTCATGCGAGGGAGGAAACCTGAGAGGCCACGGGTATAACCCAGCCGAGACGGCGACACCCAACACCCGGCGTCTGCCGGCCGGCCACCTTCCAGCTCCCACGCCTACAGCACCTGGCAAGCCCCTTCTCTCCCCCCCCCCACTACTCCCCACGATGTTTATCGCGCGTCCAAACTATTGGCCAGGATCGACCCCGCTTAGCTTTTGACCTCCGGCGAGATCTCGCGCGCGCGCGTGTGAGTCCGTCCAGCGTAATTTCGTGGTAATTACCGACGTCATCGTTATCACCGTCGTCATCGTCGTCATCGGCCGTGGTATATCCACTGCTGGATGAAGGCCCTCCTCGCCGCGTCGTCGCCATCCCACGGGGCGCAGCTCCGCTGCCACATTCACCGATCTCGTCGCTCCGTCTCCGCGATTGCCGTCCTCGTGGACCAAGGCGTTCTCCCTCCTTTGACTGCCATTCCGTCACCGGTCTCGTCCGGCGGTGACGCGTCCGTCCCTGTCCAGGCTCGCGTACGCGCTTTGTGTACAATTTTACTGTCGCGCCGTCAAAAGAAAATAAACATCCACACTAGAGCCTCTATCAAGGAAGCGTGGAGCGACGCTCATCTCCCGTTGGGGCGCTCCTGACCCATTGTTGAAAATTACACATTCTTACGGCAAGGGACTGTACATGTAGGACAACCTATGTATGTATGTTGAACTTATTTTGCACCGTACGTAGCCGACCGTGCTAATCGGAGTTGCGAGGGGAAAGGACAACAAACTAAACACGAAGTTCCAACGATGTGAGTTTTCAACCTAGATGATGTCACAGCTCCAGTGGCTTCCTGATATCGGAAGGAAGAGCGTTCCAGACGGCCGCAGCAGGCGCATGTTAAAGCGGGCGATGCGGTGAGCGTCTTTGTTTGATGGCTCGTCAAACGCCGCTGCTGCCAGGATGATAAGTCGCGTAATGGGACAGATCCAGGTGCTATGGGTTGACTGACTGAGATGACTGACAGATGCACCACCTGTGCCCCGTACTGTGCCGGCTTTCTGTGCTTTAGCCGCCCAGCGGCTCCGCTCATTGGTGTGGGATATCACACACACGACGTGGAATGTCACAAAGACAAAGATCCCCCGTATACCCTGAACAGACTGCTGGGGCAAGTGCTGTTAGCGAGCACCTATGTAGGCCGGCACGGCTCACGAAGGGGTGGATGGCCCACACCACGCCCGACCGCCTTTGTTTCCCCAGTAGTGATGTTTTACACACCGGGTTACCCATTTGAGGCTGAGTCGACCTAGATGAGGCCCAGGACCGATTCAGACAATCGCCACTTGGTGTTGCGGGAGTCGAACTCGGGTCGCCATGAGCTGCACGGTGGTTTTGGCAATACCACGAGACGAGGTTTCTCGGCTCTGCCCCCGCAGGTCGCATTGCAGAAGCTGCCCTAATAAACAAGCCCGCCACGAGCAACCAGGCGCTGTGCCAGTGTGTGTCTGTGTGTGTGAGAGTGTCTGTGTGTGTCTGTGTGTGTGAGAGTGTCTGTGTGTGTGTGTGAGAGTGTCTGTGTGTGTCTGTCTGTGTGTGTCTGTCTGTGTGTGTGTCTGTGTGTGTGTGTGTGAGAGAGTGTCTGTGTGTGTGTCTGTGTGTGAGAGTGTCTGTGTGTGTGTGTGAGAGTGAGAGTGTCTGTGTGTGTGAGTGTCTGTCTGTGTGTGTGTCTGTGTGTGTGAGTGTCTGTCTGTGTGTGTGTGTCTGTGTGTGTGAGAGTGTATGTGTGTGTCTGTGTGTGTCTGTGTGTGTGTGGGGAGCGGTGGTGTAGCGGTTAGCGCGCTGCGCTACAAACCTGGCGACCCAGGTTCGATTCCTGCTCACGGACAACACCACAGTGACGATTATCTGAACCGGTCCTGGGCCTCCCCTAGGTTGACTCGGCCTCAAATGAGTATCTGGTGCGGTGTGTAAACATCGTCACTGGGGAGACAAAGGCGGTCGGGCGTGATGCTGGCCACCCACCCCCTCGTGTACCGTTCCGGCCTTCATAGGTGCTCGCTATAACAGCACTTGCCCCTACAGTCTATTAAGGCTATACGGGGGACCTTTGTGTGTTTGTTTTTCGTCTCCAAGTTTGTTTAAACGATGCAGTCTTGTGTGCACACACGGGCGCCGCGCACATTTGCGATGTTTTGCAACGGGTTTTGTCGGATCGCCGTCATCGTCATGGTCAGTAATGTCAGCCTCATGATGACCAATCAGTACTCTTAAGCAGAGTTGCCCTTGCCTCCAAGGTGCGTGGCGTATGTGTGTGCTTATACACACACACACAGTGGGGAGTGGGAGCGGTTAGGAAAACCACCTTAATCCGATTCATGCTCTTTGGTTCTTTCAGTAAGGTCACGTAGGTAGAAAAATAAAAATAATACGTCACGACGTTTCGATCGCAACACAAGCGGTCGTCCTCAGGCGGAAAAAACAATCCAGCGGTGGAACTGCTGTCGTGATATATTATTTTTATTTTATTTTTCTACCTCCGTGACTTTACCGAAAGAACCAAAGAGTATGGATTCCTGCAGTGACGCAAGCTTCAAATCAAGATCGATTCCTGCTCACGGGCCAACACCCAGTGACAATTATCTGAACCGGTCCTGAGCCTCCCCTAGGTCGACTCAGCCTCAAGTGATTACCTGGTGCGGTGTCTGTAAACATCGCCACTGGGGAGACAAAGGC